TTGGCTAAATAAAATAAACTGTAAATATAAAATTATAATTAAATCTGAATTCAAATTGAATTAGGTTACCCAAAGTGTACATTTAAGCTGAAACTTTAACTGAAAGCAGGCAACATTAAGAATATTTGAAAATTTATTTTTATATATTTAAAGGCTATACGTTTAAATGCATGACAAATATAGAAATAGACTCATTCACCATCAACTACTTTTTATTTCTCCAGATGGACATTAGACGTAATGGACAATTAGCAAAAACGCCCCTTTTCCAGTTGTACACATGTGTTGCTCATCAAAGCTCAGTTTCACGTAAAAATTACTAAAAGCATGTACTGAAATGTGACATTTGCTACACTGCATCGTTCATTGATGTACATAGGAATCGTTCATGTTTTTAAAAGCGTGAAAGAGATTGCATGCTGTTGTGTGTATGTGCTCACTCAGCCTCAGAGATGAGCAGAGCACACACATCTAAAGTTATCTTAATGTGAGTGCTTTAATGGCCAAATACATGCAAATTTGTGTCAAAAGGCAATGTTTAGTTATTTTTTAATATTAACCCTCATTTATGTAATAAACAAACGAGTTGAGAATCAAAAGACATGTGAAAGTGAAACCATAAATCAGAACCGCACTGCTCTTAAAGTGACAGCGCGTAATATTTCTGCTGCCGACTGTTTTTATATTTTTTAATCAAACAACCAAAGAACAAAATCACTTGACTAAAGGACTTTTGTAGCTATAATTTAAGTGTTTTTCTTACAGTGAAGATGTTTAAAGCAGTTTGTTTCATATTTTTATTCTATTGTACTTATTTCCCTTTTCTTATTAACAGGGAGGAACATACCTTTGTGTATATATACAGTTGAAGTCAGAATTATTAGCCGTCCTGAATTATAAGCAGCCCTTTTCCCCCAATTTCTAAAAAACACATTTCTAAACATAATAGTTAACTCATTTCTAATAATTGATTTCTTTTATCTTTGCTATGATGACAGTCCATGATATTTTACTACATATTTTTCAGGATACAAACATTCAGCTTAAAGTGCAATTAAAGGCCTAATTATGTTAATTAGGCAAGCTACGGTAATTAGGTGAGTCATTGTATAACAGTAGTTTCTTCTGCAGACAATCAAAAAAAATATAGCTTAAAGGGACTAATAATATTGATCTTAAAAAGTTTTTAAAATATTTAAACCTGCATTTATTCTAGCCAAAATAAAATGAATAAGACTTTCTCCAGAAGAATAAAAATATTACAGGAAATACTTCGAAAAATTCCTTGCAATTTTAAACATAATTTGGGAAATATTTAGTTTCAAAAAATTCACAGCAGGGAGAATAATTTTGACTTCAACTGTATATCGTTTTGAATAATCCTGATAATAATTATGACCAAAATGATCACGATTATGGTTTTTCCCAAAATCAAGCAGCCCTACAATACAAGAAAATCGTCTTTACTTCAACTCACAGCTCTTGGAAATTGTTGCATATGTATAATGAATTACTTTCACATAAATAATCTAAAATATTGCTCTAAAAAAATCTAATTTCTGTTTTTTTTTTTTAAATGTCTCCCTTTCTTCTAAAAGATTCCATTTCAGATATTAATGGATCATATTGCTTATTAAAATGCTCATATTACAGCCGAACACTAAATGTTTTGGCTGCTAAACCACCAGTGCCTGATCCAGGTCAGTTTGAGGCGCACACATCAAGTCACTAAAGCCTCCATGTGCTGGTCATTTCAGCAAAGCAAAGAGCCATTCCATATTTAATGATCTGCCTGTGTGTGTGTGTGTGTGTGTGTGTGTGTGTGTGTGTGTGTGTGTGTGTGTGTGTGTGTGTGTGTGTGTGTGTGTGTGTGTGTGTGTGTGTGTGTGTGTGTGTGTGTGTGTGTGTGTGTGTGTGTGTGTGTGTGTGTGTGTGTGTGTGTGTGTGTGTGTGTGTGTGTGTGTGTGTGTGTGTGTGTGTGTGTCTTCCAGCAGACTCTATTGGTGCCGCTGCTGTTATGGGTAATTTGAACACATTGAGTTTGTGGGTCTGTGTGCGTCTGCGTGTTGCCTAGAGACGAGTGGCAGTATTTGAGATAGCATCTAGCTAACATCTCAGCGGCGGGTACTGAGGTCAAGATGACTGCGGACATTATGGCTTCTAAAAAAAAAAAAAAAAAAAAAAACTGCAACAGAACAGACACCGAGGGAGAAGCACCTATCATCTCCTTTGACAATTGATATTTTGACCTATTTGTAACTGAATATTGACTCTATAAATTGTTGATTTTTTTAGTAATGCATTAGTAATACATTGACATTTAAAAATGTGCTACAAAGCCATTACTTTAAGGAATGAAAAGCTTTTTTCTTTAAACACATCACAATATTAATGTCTGAATGTGTTGTATTGCATTAAGAGATGAAAAGAAATAGTTGTTTCATTTGCTCAAATTTGATTTTACTATGCCAGCCTATACTCTACTGATAATACTACTATTTTATCCCCGATTCCTTTCATTAAACGAATTTAAAAGGAGAAACTAGCATTTAATAACAATAAATGATTTATGAATAAGGTCTGGGTAATAGTTATAGATCAAACTGAATAGATACAGATTTAAGGCATTTTAAGACTATGATAATGAAATTTCAGTCTTACATAGGGCTACACGACACGCTAAGGATTTTTTAATGGCCCAGCAGAAAAAAAAAATCTAATTATATATTTCATAGCCACATATTTAAAATAATGTGTCAAAACAAGCATTTGGCTGTATACATACATTTTTGTTCAAAATAATTTAAACTCCTTAAAAACAAAATGTTTGCACAACAAGCTAAAGTTATAATATTAGTTATAAATAGTTTTGCTAAAAATTTTATTGAGATGTGTTGTTGGTGAATGGATGCATTTTGGATCGATTGAGTAGTTTTACATTAACAAAGAAATATTAAGATGATTAGAATTATTTAAGACCTACGAGACAGAATGTCAGAGAATTTAAGACTTTTTAAGGCCTAAAAATGTGTTTTTAAAATTAAAACATTTTAAGACCCTGCGGATACCCCTCATTGATATCTAGATATGGGTATTGGTACGGACATAAAAAAATATCAAGTGTATATCGGTGCAAATGTGTTGTGTAAGTGAATTATTTTGATATAAATATAGAACCCATTTAGCCAAAAAAGCCCCCTGAAATATTTATATAATTAAAATTGTAAGATGTATTTTGTAAATAGAAATTTAATTTAGACCAGAATCAAATTTCAACACATAAAATATTAATATAAATATAATAATACATATTATAAATATAACAATAATAATAATAATAATAATATTATAATAGTAATATAATAATAATAATAATAACAATAACAACAATAATAGCAATAATAATATTACATAAAATATTAATAAATGTTTTCAAAATTAACTCACAAACTGTATATTTAGAATTTAATATTGAAGTCCTTTAATATGTAAGTCCTAAATCTCAAATTCAGACTCTTTGTAGTCAAAAGTCACATTATAAATCGCTGATACATAAAAACCGATTCTAGCAACAACTTTTAAACATTTTGATTCCAATGCCTAATTATTTAACTGTTAAAATGACTATAATTAAATTAAATATTCCTAAGAATAAAATATTATGTGCTCTTTGGAAGAGTAAACTTGAATTTTGATGCTATTATACTGTCATTCTGGCATTATAAAATGAGTGGCATAAAATTGTCTTAAAATGACAATAATATAGTTTATCGCGTTTTTGATGCAATATATCGTACAACAAAATATAAATATTGTGACAGGGCTTATGTCAGAAAATAAAATATTGTTTCAAAAAAACATTAAAGGCCTGAAATCCTTCTTCCTTCTTCAAAATTCTAGGAGTTGGATAGTTATGGGTAAAGTTTAGATTAGTCTTGCGCTTTATCTATCATGAACCAGATTGTGCTGAAAATTTCAAATGTTATTTATCTAATTTATCATCCATTTACGTGTCTGTTAGCGGAAACAGTTGCATCGTGATCAAATGTACATCATTTCACAATGACAGCAGAATGAAGCAACAGGTTGCCATCATCAAACCCCTCCTACATAAAATAGCATCATCAGCACGGCAGCTCATCACCAACATATCCTTCAAAAGATGCATTTCCGCTCATTTAAAGCTCTTTTTTAGGTTTCCAGTGTATCACAGTGTGCGTGTGTGGGTTTGTTTTCAGTGCATTGCGACAGTTCTCTTTCACAGCTGTTACTTCAGGCCAGTTTATTGGGACAATCAATATTTCCAGCTTCAGTCCAAATGTTCTGCTTTAATTAATAGTGCATAATAGAACATTTTAATTGACAATTTGGTAAGAAAAATCTGAGAAAACCTTTTTAGTAGGATAATTATGTGTGTTCATTAAATAATATGATTTAGCTTATACATGTAAATGATAGTATGGAGTCAGAAAAAAACTGTATTGCAAAACAAAGCATTGTTTTGTCATGACTAGCTGGCTAAATCACATCCTGTTGCTTCCTTACAGAGATAATAATTTGTATTTTTTGGTTTTTGTGTACAAATACAGAGAAAGCCTTGTCAGTTTAATATTGATGTATTTGTATTTTTGTTTTTACAAGTCTCATCTCTTCACAGCTGTGACTGGGTGCCAGTTTATTGGGACAATCAATAGGCTTATTTTTCAGTTCAAATATTCATTTTTAATTAATAGTGTATTATAATGTACTCGTGAAAAGCTGAAATGTTTACCACTTCGACAGGTTTAAAGTTATGAGATATAAAAAGAGCAATAAATGCCCCAAAGTAACTGGTTGACTAATGGGTGACCATCAAAAGACCAACAATACCCCACAAACTTTCCGTTACAGTTTTGATGATAGTAACAACAGTGTAACACTCTTTCAGCTACCGTGTAACACAGTTGTAACAAAGAAACAGCGCAGTTTAGGCCTCTCATTTATGTTTAATTGTTTCTTACCAAGCAGCAGGAGTTTGACCTCTCTGGCCGCTTTCTCTCCGTCATCTCTCAGGTTTCTGTCGATCATTTTACTCCTCTCCACCGCCGCTTTATCCTCCGTGCTTAACGTACAGCCCATCCTTCACGACGATCCGAACCGTTCAATGAAACGCACAGTATTCAACATGCACCAGCTCCCTCTCCGGAAAACCACACGCCCTTCTTTGAGAAAAAAAGCAACAGCCGAGCGCTAACGAGGGTCTTAAAAAACAAAATACGGAGCGTAGCGTCTGGCCCTTGCTTTGTTTGATAAAGACTAGTCCTTTAGCCGCCCTTTTTTAACCGTAAATCCCGTTAATGGGATGAAAAAAGGATCCGTTAAAACGTAGCGATCCGTTCGCCAGCGCTTCAGTGTCCACGGGCTCGCGCGGCTTCCTGTTCTCGTGCATGAGCAGGCAGGCGCGTTCGCGATCAGAGGCGGGAGCGCGCGCTCAGCATCTTTGGCTGTAGGACATGAATGATGCAGGGCGACGTGGCCTGTCTGTGTGTACACTGTGAACGAGCGATGCTTTATTTTAATGGGTTTATCTTACTCTTGGAAAAATAATTAGTAGACATCTGAACTTTAAATTGTATCAAATAAACAATTCTGGATTAAAAAAGTTAATTCCTAGATAATTTATTTTCCTTATTCTTGTCATCCAAGATGTTAATTTCTTTTTTTCTGAGGACTTTTCTCTTTAATGAATTTTATATAGAGAAATAAAATTAGCCTCACAGCTAGAAGGTCACTGGTTCGAGCCTCAACTGGGTCAGTTGGCATTTCTGTGTGAAGTTTGCATGTTCTCGCCTTGTTTGTGTGGGTTTCCTCCGGGTGCTCCTGTTTCCCCCACAGTCCAAAGACATGCACCATAGGTTAATTTGTGTAGGCTAATTTGTCTGTAGTGTATGTGTGTAAATGAGAGTGTTTCCCAGTGATGGGTTGCAGCTGAAAGGACATCCGCTGCCTAAAACATATGTTAGATAAGTTAGCGGTTTGTTCTGCTGTGGCGACCACTGATTAATAATGGGACTAAGCTATAAAGAAAACGAACGAACGAAAAAACAAACAAATGGTTTCTTCAATGGTATCTGGATGCAGCCTTTATGATACAAGCTGAGATTGAGACAAGCTGAGACACAATGCACCCAATGGAGCTAGTAATGTCACTGTGAGGGTACGGTTAGTTTTAACGTCTAGATCTAAATCCAAAAAGCTTTTTTTTTTTAAAGAAAATGATTTGATATGACTATTAATTATGGGTTGTGATTATGTAAAGCCCTTTGATAATGTATTAAAACCCTTTGATGATGTATTTGATGGAATATTCCTCAAACTTATTTATTTATTACAGTTTTTTCTATAATGAACTAACTTTTTTAGAATTGTTTTATTGACTGACGTTTCATGTACAGTTATGTGCTTAATCCTATGAAGCCAACAGCATTATAATGTAAGAAACTTTAAATCCTTGATCGAAATGTAGTTAAAAACCTGTTGACACAGTATTTTTTAAACAAAGCTATATATTTAGATTTTATTTAAAACTTATCTACTTTCTGGCTGTGCATATCTGTGTGTTTGTGTTGAAATCAGTAATGATTTTTACATAGTAATTATTTAGTAATTAATGACTTTTATCTTATTAATATGAAAATAAAAATTAAGAGCAATGAAACGGATGAGTGTTTTTAAGAGCAATGAAAAACTTTTTTAAAGATTTGCTTTTGATTTGCAAAATGACTCAGACCCTGTAGTGTGGTGATTCGTAACTAGTGTACATGGTGGCTCAGTGGTTAGCACAATTGCATCATAGCAAGTAGGTTAATAGTTTGACTCCGGCTGGGTCAGTTGGCATTTCTGTGTGGAGTTTGCATGTTCTCCCTGTGTTTGCTTGGGTTTCCTCCATGTCCAAAGACATGCACTAGAGTTGAATTGACTAAACTAAATTGGCCATATATATGTGTGTGAATGAGTGTGTATGGATGTTTCCCAGTTCTGGGCTGCAGAAGGGCAGCATATGAAACATATGCTGGATAAGTTAGTGGTTCATTCCGCTGTGGCGACGTCTGATGAATTAAAGCCTGAAGAAAAATGAATGAATGAATAGTGTATATGCAAAAATATGGGCCCTGGTAATGTCATGTGCTACTTTTATCGAAATTAGTCATTTTTAGAGCTTGATTAAATAAATAGATTTTAGAATAAATAAAAAAAAATCTGGATTTTTATTTGTAGCAAAAAAGTCACCTATGTCAGAAGATGCAAATTTGACATCTTTTGTCATGACCCACTATGTCGCCTACTTGTGATGCAGAGAGCTCGGGTCTGAGAATATCACAAAAGAGATAAAAGCAATGTCAAATCAAGTTAATACTAAGTGGTTGCAGTCTACTTTTATGTTTGTGAAAGCACTATTGATTGGGTTTACGAAAGGGTTTGGATCAGTGTTTGGTGGTAATCTGAGCAACAAAACCCATCTACATCTGAATGTGTTCAAGAGGATGTGTATCTGAAACATGTAACAAAATGTACCCCAAATGATGCATTTCAGATTTGCAAAAAAATTGGACAACACACTCTAGTTTATTATCTGAAATGTGCAATAAAATGTACCTGGACCAATATAATTTAGATTTTGCAAAAAATGTGCCTGGGTTGTGATTTTGACATGCTTAAAGGCAATTTGTGTCCAAATTCACCGTTGCTGAGTAAATTCACCGTTGCATTATACTAAAGACAATTCTGTTCTTCTATAACTAACTCCACTCTAAAATATTCAAAACACTTTTACCTGAATAGCAGAATATTGGCAAAACAGATTTGGCAAATGATCCAGTCTATGTTTGTTTTCTGACAGGCATCAAAGCTTTCTATTTACAGTGGGGTTTTGTGGTGTTGAGAAGACTATAGCCATCACAAATGAACCTGTTTTTTTTATTTATTTATTTTTATTAAGCTATTCACAAACAGTGTATACAAGATATAAATAAATTATTGTGTAATATAGAGAGCTTTAGCGATAACTCAACTTTGCAAGATTGCAGTCAAATAAAACCAATGACAGTTTTTCAGTTCTTTGTGCACACCTTCGAGGCTATAATTTGTTCAGAATTTATTTGCAGTGATTTTCATTGTGAAATCCATTAATCAATTGATCACCACTTGCCATTTTGTAGAGTTTTTCACAGTTTTACTTGTGTTTACTGAGTAAATGGTGATCAGGTAGAGCTAGGCTAGCATAGCTATTTTAAGACATGATGAGATTTTTTTTTATAGATATAAACTTTAAATACATTAAATATTTTGGTTATCAAACATTAGTTTTGATTCATTTGTAATTGCAGGAAGACATATTAGAGGAACTTTTTTAACAATAAACAATGTATTCAATGAATAAAATACAATGCTTTAATTGCTCATCTCCCAATCATCATTTTGCAATCTATATATTTTACCACCCAATACAGATCCTGAATAAAGTCAGACATGTTGATATCACCTTTATAGGATATATTTTTTGTAGATATATTTCTATGCTTAGATATGTAAATCTTATTGATATGTAAACTCAAGTGTTCAGTTTTCTGTTTGACCATATACAGTACGCAATGATACAATTGCACCAAATGACCTTTTTTAGGCATCTAAATAAAATCTGTGTGTTTTTATTTTATAGGGTGAACATTATTATTATGTTCCACAATCAGACCTCAAGATTTGCTTCAGGAAACAGAAGAAGAATGACAGTCAGCAAACTGATGAAGGTAACATAATCTAAACATGGCAACTAAATCAACAACAACAGTGTAAATAAAAGCGGCAAATGGTCAAACAATGGAGTCATATTAATTATTCATGCTCGAGTGCATGCTGGGAAGATGGCAAGTGGGGCTGATCACTAAACTCTCTTTGTAGGCATCTTTGAGACAATCCCTTAAAACAAACCTGCTCTTTAAAAATCAGTGTATGGCTGCATGTATTGTATAATAATACAGTTGTTATTAGAAAAAAAGTCAGTTAAAAAAGTCAGTTAAAACTGCTTTTGAGCTTTGACTCAAGATGCTGGCCTCAAACCAACATAATAATTTTATGTATTTTTATTATAATATTGTTTTTAAAAAAACGAACAAGAGATTCTGTTAAATTTCACAATAGCAGAGTTGAAAAATAATGATCTACAATTGGTGTATTGTAAACATTTTGTACAAATTATTGAGAGAAGAATAAGAATATGCCTCAGTGCCTTTCCACCAGAGGAAGTGATATTACTTGAAGCAAGTCCTATTTCTATCTTAGGTTTACAGATTGTTATGTTTTTTATAACCAAAGAAACAGAGTCGAACAAAAATGTACAAATAGACACAAAATGTCTATATTATTAATAAAATAACTCAGAAAACAGATGTTTCATGCAGATGTTTAAGTTCGTTGGGCAATCATGCACATTTAAATGAATTCTTTCATAATAATTAAAGCTCAATGTATGGTTCAGGATGCAGAGAACACGTACACTGCAAAAAAATGCTGTTTTCTGCACAATCAATTTGTTTTGCAATAACATGAAGGAATTAAGTTAACTTATAAAATTATTAAATTTTACAAATTTAAGTGGGTTGAACATAAAACCAAACAAATCTTTAGAGAATTGTGTTGTTTCAGCTCATTTTAAATAAGTAGTTAGAACAAACACCAAACATCATTTTTTGAGTGTATGGGAGTCTTTAAATTTTATATTTTTAATTTTATATTTTAAAATTAATTTTTTTAATTTTATATAAAATGTCTCTAAATACATACACAATCATTATTTTTAGAGAACTTGATATGACTTATTATTTTATTATTGTTATTTAGTTTATTCATTTATAATTTGTTAATGTTTCTAAATTGTTTTATCAAATTTTTGTATAAGAGATGCAAAATGTAGCCATAAATGGAATCATCCATGCAGGCGTATGTGTGTACAAGTCTATTTATACATGAACAATTCTAAAGTTGTAAATATATTTGCATTGTGTCTTTGGGATCATTAAAGATCTTTATTAATGCATCATTAAATCTCAGAAGAACATTTAAGGAGCATTCACTGATAGTTTGTTTGTCCATTGGGCAAACAACAAAGTTTTTTTTCTGACATCGTTGGAAAAGGTTTATCATAAAGGCTGTTGCTCAGCTTTATGATCTCAGTGTGCAATTGTGTTGTGTCAGGTTGGTGTGTTAATCTAAGACATATCCCAGATGCCTGGGTCACCGCAGACCATGTGTTTGAAGGTCAGATGAGCTGTGACTGTAACACCAACACTGCTGAAAAACCTGCAAAGCTTGCAGAAACAGCCTCAAAATTCATTACACTTTCACTCTTTATAGCCAAAGGTCAGGCTTTCAGTATGCCGGCTGACTGTGATGTTAAATTAGATAAATTAGGCAATGACCTCAGACCTTACAGTTGTTTGAGATGACTGGATAAAATGTCAGCTTTGAGTGAGCATTTGCATTGGATCTCGAAGGGTTACAACAGTTTAACCACACATTTGCATGCTACACAAAAATATTACAGCTCATATGCAAAGTGCTACCTGTGAATGTCTGTTAGAGTTCAGTAAGAATCTAAGCCAAAGGAGTATAATAATAATAATAAAAAATAAATAAATAAATAAATAATAATAATAATAATAATAATAGGGCTGTACGGTGGCTTAATGGTTTGCACTGTCCCCTCACAGCAAGTTGATCAATGGTTCGAGTCCCGGCTGGACCAGTTGGCATTTCTGTGTGATGTTCTTTCTATGTTCCGGATGTTCCAGTTTCCCCTTACAGTCCAAAGACATGACCTATAGGTGAATTGAATAAACTAAATTCTCCATAGGTTATAAGAGTGTGTGAATAAGCCTGTATGAGTGTTCATTACGCTGTGGCGAACTCTGAAATAGAGACTAAGCCGAAGGAAAATCAATGAATAAATAATGATAATAAATTAATTTATTTATACATAGTTTGACCTTAAGATACTCACACACAGCTTTGCAAACACTAAAGAATACAATGAAAAAGAGAAACATAAAAAAATTATAAGAATTTTATGAAAAAATAATGTTGTATGTAGTATATTATTGTATAATAATAGTTTAATAATAGTCTAATATTATAGCACTTTTATAGTATAACAATAGTTTAAATAATATGATATAAAAGTTAAAGTTTTGGTGAGTGGTTTTCATCACACTTTCTAACTCAAAATCTGCGTATCATAAAAAATAAATGGCTGATTGGCTCTATTTGTCAATGGTTGGTATTGTAGTACAGACATATTGGAACATGTTAAAATAAGGTTTAATGAGTTTCAAGTTCTAGAGATAAATGCTTAAACTGACAACAGCAATATTTTTATTAAAATGTTATAATTGTTGGCTAGAGTTTAGTTTGGAAGGTGTTTATCACCTGTTTACAGAAGTAAACCATAATTATGCTTTACCCAAACACATAACTATTAATCAATTGTCATGAATCATCCAAAGAAGCTGTGAATTTTCAATATGTATGACTCAATGCTGGGACTGTGGTATCAGAATTGTTACAGTTAATCTGTACACAGAATTAATAGACAGACTGTTGTTGTAATTTAACCGCGCAATTCTGTATAAAATTTGAATAATTTCAGACTACCAAAGAAAATTATAAGTCACTTTATGTAAAAGTAAAACTTAGCTAAAACTTCTAACAGAACACACATCATTGAACACTGCCCTCTAGTGTCCGCTAGACGAACTATAAACTTGTTCTGATCACTTCTAAACCAATAGCCAGCCATATACTGTAAAACAAACAAAAATCTTCATCCAAACGTCTGCACATATAATACAAAAACATTATACTTCTTTTTTACAAAATTTGATTTGTATGTTTTATTTTGTTTTATTCCATCCAGATCAGAGGATTTAAATGAAGCAATTATTCATTCATTCATTTATTCATATTCTTTGTGGCTTAGTCTCTTTATTAAACTGGGGTCGCCACATCAGAATGAACCGCCAACTAATCCAGCATATGTGTTACACAGCGGATGCCCTTCCAGCTGCAACCCATCTGGGTCAACTGACCCAGCCAAGGCTCGAACCAGCGAACTGTTTGCTGTGAGGCGACAGCACTACCTACTGCACCACTGCGTTGCCCTACGAAACAAACATAACAAATTAACCAACCACATTTATTAAAGTTATGTCTTAATCCAAACTGATATCAGTGTCTTGTCCATGACATGACAAACAAAATCAGTGTGAAATTGGACTCCTTAAAACCACTGAACACTAGGGGACAGTACAAGCTAACACATTATTACTTAACCCTGAAATATAACACACACATGCATGCACGCACCCCCCCCCCCCTTCACACACACACACACACATTAGACATATTATGTTTAAGAGGGGGATTTCAACATGATATTTAAGAGGTAAACGTATTGCACAGCTGTAATAGCCAATAAAAACAACCCTTGAACTTTTTTATTGGTTTATTAGTTGATATGTCAATTACCTGAGCTATGTTTATACTGATATTTTAAACGTCAGAGTAAGGTAAGGTAACTTTGATTTGCAGTTATTATCATCAGGTGTCTAACACACAACTTAGGACATCATAACACAACACATCTTAGGACATAAACATCATATCATACCAAAAAAAAAAAAAAAAACACAATGTGAGACTATAGCTGACTTCTTAATTCTTTACTGCTATTCAAATATTGAATTGACTGTGGTAGAAAAGGCTTTTATCCTTTTTTAATACCTAAACCAAGCCAAATCTTTGCCCCTTTGGCAATAATTCAAATGTAGAGCTGGGAGAATGTTTTGAATGCTCCATTATTCTTCCCGCTTTTCTTATCATTCTCTCTGCATCATTCTGTTGTTGTAAGTTACTACAACTTGCTTATGTTCATTGCGCAATGGTCACTTCTCGCCTTTACTGCATACTGTATTCTGTTTTATGCTTTTCTGTTCTGTTTAAAAACAATATATATTTTTTTTTACAAAGAGTGCTTTGTCAATTAGTGGTCAATTAGGACCCTCAGGGATTGGACATTCAATTTAATTCAATTCTATTCAATTTTATTCTATTCTATTCTATTCACCTCTATTATATGTCTATTCTATTCCATTCTGTTCTGTTCTTGTTTTGCATACATAACTGTAAATGGCTGATTCTAATTTGTCAGTTACTCATTAGTCTAATATTCTATTCTAATCTATTCTATTCTATTCTATTCTATTCTATTCTATTCTATTCCATTCTATTCTATGTTCTTGTTTTTCATACGTAACCGTAAATGACTGATTCTGATTTGTCAGTTACTCAGAAATGAGATATTCTATTCTTTTCTATTCTCTGTTCTTCATTTTGTTTTTCATAAATCACTATTAATGACTGATTCTGATTTCTCAGTTGCAGTCAGTGGTCTGATATTCTATTCTATTATATTCTATTCTATTTGTTTTTCCTACATAAGCATAAATGATTGATTCTGACTTGTCAGTTACTCAGTAGTCTGAAATTCTATTCTATTCTATTCTATTCTATTCTATTCTATTCTATTCTATTCTATTCTATATGTTGTTGTTTTTCATACATAACCGTAAATGGCTGATTCTGATTTCTCAGTTGCACTTAGTGGTCTGATATTCTATTCTATTCTATTCTATTCTATTCTATTCTATTCTATTCTATTCTATTCTATTCTATTCTATTGGTCTTTCATAACCATAAATGACTGATTCTGATTTGTCAGTTGCACTTAGTGGTCTGATATTCTATTTGAATTCTCAATCTAAAATTAAGTTAAAAGTTTATTCAATGATATATAAAAATGATTTCATAACAAATTAATTGTGCCTGTGTATTTTTTTATATGGATGTCCAAATGGTAATTTTAGATTGACTTGGTTGTCAGATATTGTTTTCTATCCTATTTGTTGTATCGTAATCTAGTTATCGATTTGATGTCCTGTTTTGATTTTTATAACAGGGTGACCGTCCGAAAAGCTTAATTCTGATTGGTCAGTAGCAGCTCGCGGTGATTCGGTATTGATTTCCTTTATAGTAAATCTAAATAGAACTAGATATTAGATAATATTCATTTTCGAGTAATATTTAGGCTACGTGTAATCTATTAATTGCATATTAATGTAAATACCAATTCTAAATCTTTTTTTTACTTTACTTTTCTTTTTCTTTTCGACTCTGGCACAAATCATCCACGTCGACATCAAACAGATATTTCAAAGTCACTTTTAACTTAAACACTTTTCAGCAGCGGCGGTCTCCTGATTGTGACATTGGCCTTGGCTTCTGATTGCCGTGTGTTACGCGCCCGCTCCCCGCCCAGCAGTGCGTTATCGCGCGCAGATAACTCCGTCCTAACGAGGGTCTCCGGGTGTTTTATACGGCAATCCAGTCTCCCAGATCTCCTCCTCTACAACCTTCGATCCCTGGGACTTACATAATTCTTCAGGACGACCTCATGCTGGTACCTGCCGCGCAGCCGGTCAGTGTTGGTCCAGGCTGCGGCTCGCCATCATGACCTGCTGCGATCAGCGGTGCGCACTCATCACCGGGGCCGTGCTGGGCGCCCTGATCGCCTTGCTTGGCGGAATCCTCATCCCGGTGGGCGACATGATAATTAAAAACACCGTCCATAAGGTAAGTCGTCGTCTTTTCATATCAATATTCGGCGCACACGCGTTTGCAGATGCTCCAAACAGACACACATGAAGTTGCCGTAGAGAAATATTGTGAATAATTTAAATTTATTCAATGTAGGGTACAACGTACTACTATTAATGATATATGAGGTGAAATAAAATGGGGTTTTTGGGTCAAGGACGTGTTTTGCAATTATGAAATTTGAGTTTTATAATCAATGAATTGCATATAATTCATGTTGTTAGTTGTTTTACTGTTTAGGTTTGAGTGAAAAGCTTTTTAACATGTCTAAATTAAGTTGTGATTGTTAACTAGAGTTTTAGATTTCAGGTATTTAAACATTATAGGTTCTTGACTTAGCTCACAGTGTCAAGGTCAATGTTAAATGAGCTGGGTGTTAATTTTAAGACAAAAGCTTTGGAGGTTTTCAATGCATTGTTCCTGTGCAAAAACGTGAATGAATATAACCTAATATAAATAAACATTCAGTGGATTGAGACAACTTTCTCCTGTCCCCCCATTTCACAATATACAAAAAGTAGATTAAAGTGTGAATAGAATATCTGATTTTAGATGTTTAACTTTTTTTTTTTTTTTTTTAAGGAAACAGTGCTGGAAAATGGGACTTTAGCATTTGACACCTGGACATCTGTAGACATAGCGATGTACAGGCAGTTCTGGATTTTTAATGTGGAGAATCCCGATAAGGTTTTAAGTGAAGGGTCCAAACCTGTGTTGGTGCAGAAAGGACCATACACATACAGGTAATATTTGTGGCCTCATAGATAGATATTCTGTAGTCGATATTCATTCATTCATTCATTCATTCATTCATTCATTCATTCATTCATTTTCCTTTGGATTAGTCCCTTTTTTCATTAGGGGTGCCATAGCAGAATGAATCGCCAACTTTGCAAATGTTTTACGCAGCGAAACACCCATACAAATTTATATGCACACTCGTACAGCAAATTTAGCTTATTCAATTGACCTAAAGCACTTGTCTTTGGACTGGGGAAAACCGAAGCACCTAGAGGAAACCCACGCCCACACAAGGAGAACATGCAAGCTCCACACAGAAAAGCTAACTCACAGCACTTATTCTCTTGGAAATAAAACAAATATTATCTCATAAACTGCCTGAAAAAGCCAAAAGAAACGAAAAGAAACAACATTTCACTAAAGTGTAGATCATATATAGACCTCTGAGATGAACTTAAAGTTTTTTCATGTTGTTGCTTTTTTTTTTAGCATCGTATATTGACAAGCACAAGTTTGATGATTCTTACCAAATCCAAGAGAAATGTTATACATACAAGGGAAATGTCATTTTTTGCACTGGAGGAACTTTTTCATATTTCCTATAATATACATATAAATATGTTGTCATCAATTCACAATCTTAGTCTAAGATATTGTATGTCTGAATGGGCCTGACATTGCTGTTATTCACGCTAACTATGACTTTCCACTGCTACATAATGATATAACCAGTAACACACCATAACTTGTGTTTTTCGTGTGGTTTTAAGCAACTAAATGGCCATCTACTCTTTTTTTTAACAAGGTCTTATCCTTTTTTTGTTATCCTTCAGGGTACGTTACATCCCCAAAACAAATATCACCTTCAATGACAACAACACTGTGTCCTTTGTGCTGCCGGCAGGAGCCACCTTTGAGCCTAGCATGTCAGTAGGATCCGAGGAGGATGTGTTCACATCGCTCAACCTTGCTGTCGCAGTATGTATTTCAAAAATATTTCATGCCATTGCAGTTATCTTTTTATTCTTTTTACTCCCTCATTTTCAGTTAATGTGATAAATAGATTTCCTCCTCAAGACTGGAGTAATGGCTGCTGAAATTTTGCTTTGTCATCACAGAAAGACAAAATACAGTTTAAAATATAGCAAAAAATTAAGCAGATATTAGTAAATGTGTGTTTTACAGTAGTGCTGTATTTTGTTCTGCTTTTTTTTTTTAACAAAATACAGGGATTAAAGCTGACTCTGGCGTGTGGTACTTTATCAAAGCACATGTGTACCTAAAGAATCCATATTAGTACCTAAAAGGGTATGTGTTAAATTTAGGTACTAATATGGATGCTTCAGGTACAAATGTGTACCGTATCTTTTATTCTGTACCACCTAAGAGAATGCTTATGTGCATTTAGTTTGGACAGTGTGAGTAAAAGATGCTTCCTTTCAACAATATCATTTAAACATTAAGGGCCCTATCATACACCTGGCGCAATGTGGCGCAAGGCGCAGCTCAATAGTCTTTTGCTAGTTTTAGCTTGGCGCAAGAGTCGTTTTGAGGCGTTGCGCTGCGCTGTTTAAATAACAAATGCATTAGCGCTCATATGTGCGTTCTGGTCTAAAAAGGAAGGCGTTCTGAGGCGCACTGCTGGTCGCGTTGCTATTTTCAGAAACTATAATAGATTTTTTAATAGACCAAAACAAACCCGGTCTAAACTCCGGCGCAGAGTTGTGCCTCGCTTATGCACTGCTTAATACGCACAAGAGAGCAATAGGCAAATGTCTTTACATATGAAAAAATGTAAATATTAAGGATATATATAGGTTATAATAAGAATAGATATAGGATATAAATATAAAGGATTAAAATATTACAAAACATATTATTTTCTAGCCTACATAAATATGAAAAATTACTGCTTTTATGTCTTCATCTCGGGAGGCTTTTTCAGTTAATTCATAGCATTTTGCTTTTGTATAATGTTATTATTATTAGCAGTATTATTTATTATATCCATATTTATATTTGTTTTATTAAAAACAAGCTTAGATTTGCCCACCTGTCAGGTTTAAGACCATATGGGGCACAGCATGTGTTTTAGGATATAACTCAGGTTTTTGAGCACACTTTGTTATTATTGTTAATTTATTTGTTTGCTGGAAATCAGAACTGAATTTAGAAATAGTTTTGAAACGAATATTTGCGCTTAACAAACTAAGTTAATTATTTATAGACTAATTGATGTCTGTGCGTAAAGGTTTACCTATCCAAGAGCGAATGTGAAAGTAGATCTATTATCTCTTATTCTCACGCAGTAGATGCTCTGTTTAACAGTTTTCTGTTAAAAAAACTGTTAACTGTTAACTGTTTGCTAGTGAAATGCAAATTTTTTCCACTTAGACTTACTTTGCGTCCTGTAAATAGCGAATGCGCTCTTGGCGCGACGCAGCTGGCTCTTAAAGGGAATGTGAGATGAAACTGCAATTGGTTTATTCTTAAAACACACCTATAACTCATTAAGAAAATAAACTCAACCCTTTTAGACCATGCGCCAAGGTGCAAAGCGGATTTTCCCGTCCTTAAATTAGCAAAAAAGCGTTCTGACACGCCCTGAAAGCGTTTGCGCCCTGCATTTTGCGCTCTGCGCATAGACCGTCAAAATAGAGCCAGTAGATTTTTTTGCAACCTATGGGGTGATCATGTTATATTAAAGACACAGCACATTGATTTTATTGGACTAGGCTAAACTTTCTGAAACCTTTACGTCACTCACGTACATTAAAAATCAATACAAGCCACAAATGAACATGGAGGATGGTCTCCGAGTGTCATTCTTCAAAATGAAATGATGAATAGACTTGGGCTTACAGGTATGTGTGTGCCGTTATGTGCAAGGTTTACATATTTATAGCCATCTCAGAGGATATTGGGGGGTCGCAAGTCACTGGCATTGTAATTTTTGGGATCACAGGCTGAAAAGTTTGAGAACAACTGGTCTAGAAATAAACCTAAAATAAACCAGTACTTTTTCTGGTATTTAACATGTATAGATGTATTACATTTTTAAACTACAGAGTTGAATTTTCAACATCAAAACAGCAAAGGTCAAGGTCTCATAATTTAATCACAAAATGCAGAAACTGTTAATTAACAGATAGTTTTTATAGTGTACACATCTTAAAACCGCTGACCAATGGCACTGATAACATTCCTTCAACATTGATTGCCATCTGTGAAGCAAGTCAGTTAAAGTTTGTCCAATTAAAAGATAATCACAGATTTCAACATGTTATCTTTCAACTGTCAGCACAAGACTTGAGCATGCATGTTAATGCATAACCAACTGTTATATAATCCTAATGTTCATTCAGTGTTATAGCTTGTAATTACATGTTCCTATCCATCAGATAAAGGTGCTGTTGAGGTAATTTGTATATAATTAAAATTACCTTGTGGTTTTATTAGGTAGATAAATTAAGGACAGATTGCTGTTCCATACTGATGCTATGATTTACTTGAACCTTGATTTCTTTTCTTCCAGGGTGTTTACCGTTTGATTGGTCCTAAACTGGCAGATTGGCTTATCCGAAGCTCCGGTTCCTCACTCTTCCAGAACAGGACTGTTAAGGAATTATTGTGGGGCTACAAAGACCCAATGTTGAACAGCTTGGTTGGAGCTTTTTATCCAGTAAGGAGACTTAATGGCTTTATATTTGCTAGTTAAGCATCATATGCCAGCATGATTGAAGAAATATAAAGAACCACATTATAAGCAATATTATTTGCCAATTTGGAGAACACCTAAATTAACATATTTAAATATGTAAGTACATGGCTCAAAAATGAAGAGGGTTTCAATATAACACAATTTTTTTTTTGCATACAGTATGTTAGAATGTGTTTTGATAAAATGACTGGCCTGCATTTTTCCCATGATTTACAGATAGCACCTAAAAAAAAAAGCAATGTAACACGAATTTACAAAAAACTCATCATATATAGAACAAGAGTCATTGGATGATGCATTTAAAGACTCTTATTTAAAGGGATTGGTCACCCCAAATAGAATATTCTGTCATCATTTACTTGTCACAATCTGGTTTGCGTTTCTTGAGCTTCTTCTGATGTTGAACACAAAAAGTTATTAAAAATGCTTCATAATAATGCCCTAATGGACGCCAGTGGTTACAGGTTTCTTACATTCTTCAAGATATCTTGTTATTGTGTTCAACAGAAGAAAGAAATTCAAAAGGGGTGAACTATCCCTTTAAAAATTGCAATGAAGCTCCAAAACAGTAATTTATTGTCATTTTAAATATTTATACCACTTTCATTCAAACTACTGTGTTTTACCAATTTGTCAGCAAGATATTTTAAATTATTTTAAAATTTGATGTTAACTTATTATTTTAAATATTCTAATAAGGACAAGTATAGTCTGAATGAGAGAAAAATGTTCATCCACACTTAGATTTTATTTTTTAAAGCTATATAAAGCATTCAATTACACACTTTAATTGCATTTCTTGTAGGTACTGTGTATTTAAATTCCCTTTTGTGAATTTTATTAGATTCAGATATCAAAACGGGACATCTCACCTTCAGTCCAAATAAGAATGCACAAATTAAAGTGCCGTTCACGCCATGAATGATAACTAAAGTGATATGAATGATAATTCTGTTAATAAGTGCAGACTGCAGTTTTGTCACCTGTTGCAATAATTTCACAACCTCTTTAAAGCAACATGGATTCAGATTTATGAACTGTGTAAAAGGATTAATACTAAAAGGGATTTCAAGTTCTGTGTTGTTAACATTATAGTTATGTGAACAGGCCTTAAAGGGAAAGTTCACCCACAATTGAAAATGTACTCAAGTGGATCTAAACAAGTTAAAAGTTATTTCTGCTGATGGACTCAAAACAAGATATAATGAAGGGTTTTGGGGGGAAAAAAACAGCTATTGACATCCATAGTAGAACAAAAACAAATACTATGGAACTCAATGGCTTCTGTTTCCCATTTCTTTCAGGAAATCTTCTTTTGTGTTCAAGAGAAAAAACAACAACCTCAAAACGTGTTTGAAACAATAAAGAATGAGAAAAATTATTTTTAATTTTTGTAGCTATCCTTTTAAGAAGTAAGAATACCTAAATAACTTATGTTATTTAATATAAGATAAAAAGAGCTAGCATCAAAGCTAACACAACACTGTCTCCTAAATTTTAAACATTTCAACTGAATTTTAAATTTAACATGTGTTCCCAGTTGGTACTGGTGCTTTTATTGTGGTTTTTGTGATTTAATGTGAAGATAAAGCTGTTTTTCTTTTTTTTCTTTTAGTATAATGGCACCGTAGATGGACCCTACACTGTTTTCACAGGCAAAGATGACATTAATAAAGTAGCCATTATTGAACGCTGGCAAGGTGAAACGTAAGTATTTGTAGCATGTAACACATGATTCTTTGGGTTGAAGATTGCTGTTGTATACGGAAAAATCTTAAATCTTAAAGGGATAGTTTACACAAACAAACCCAAATATTTGACGTTAAACGACTCAGCCTCAGACCATTCAGTATTAAATAGTATATTTTATTAATTAAATCATTATCATCCGTCTATATGAAAAAAAAAAAACACACACACGTGAAACATTTAGAAAATGTGAAGTGTGTGGAATCTGGAAAAAAATTTAAATGTTTACAACGTCACATTTGACACAACATGATCTCATAAAAATTACAGTTATTTTCTATTTTAATTGCATTTGACGCTTGTGGTTTATAAGAGAGATTTTAGGCAAACTATCCCTTTAAATAAATACTGTATACTGTGTTTCTGATTTAATCACTTAAACTAACTGTATTATCAAAACACTTATGGTTTTACAGATCAGTTAATTACTGGAACGACTCTTATTGTGACAAGATAAATGGATCAGGCAAGTTTACCTCTAATATATTACATTCATATTGAATTATTGGGAAATATCATTGATGTTGATGTGCATATAGTTATATAATGTCTTCTGTCCTACAGCTATGTAAATAGCTTTGTCCAGGGCTTATTTCTGGCTTATTTATTCATAGCTTTTCATCTAATTTAATTAATAATTCTCCAATAAAATCGAGGACCTTCAGCAATTCCTGCAAAGTCACAATTTGTTTTGATATCTCTGCTCTAAAGGGCTTCAAAACTAATGTTTTTAATAGTTAATTACGTTTGTGTTCATATATCTACAGATGGTTCCTCTTTCCACCCGTTCCTGGACAAGAAGGAACCTCTATACTTCTTTTCTCCTGATATCTGCAGGTATTTTTCAATTGTATTGCTAATAACCAATACAAAAAAGTAACTAATATTTACACTGTAAAATGTTGGGCTCCATATGATTGATTTTGTGTCGGGTCAACATGATAGAATTAAGTTAGCTCAATATTTTTTTTACAAATTTAAGTGGATTTATCACAAAACAATTAAGTTGTCTTCCCAAAAACTCAAGAATTGTGTTGTTTCAGCTCAGTTTAAAAAGGATTATTATTAATATTAATATTACTACTAAATACAGTATGCAACCGATCTAGATATTTTTGTAAATTTAAGATTCAAAACAATTGTATATACATTAGATGTCATTGTATATTAGTTATATTTGTACGTCATCATCTATGGACTAGTCTTTATTGACAAATGTTTAAATACTGGACCCTCTGTGAAGAATATCCACTGATTTTTCAATAGTATCTACTGATTTATCAATTAACTAACAACATTTCTTTTTGTGAAACATTTAGCTTTAAAAAACAGTTTATAGTATTTTTCATGTTCACAAAACAACAATTTCTCATATTATGCATATACATTTTAAAGTTCACAAAGTGTCCAAAAACTTTGAGGCTGTTTTGAAATTCCACTTATCAGCAAATTTATCATTATCTACTGATTAAAGTCCTATTTTTCTATGAGCGTATGTTAAATTTAATCTATGCGGTTCTGATTAGATTTGATCCAGGTTGCTGATCAGATAAGTGGTGGTTTCACGTGTCCACTCTATTGTTTAGTCATTACCAGCAGAGGTCAGGCAGATCCTGCTCTTCTGCAGGGTCAAAGACGTCAGAAAAAACAACATTTATGCACTTTTATCATAATACTTCATCCGTGACTGTTCAGCCGGGACTGCTGGAGATCAAAGCTAGACAAAGCTTGACTGTTTTTCATTTAGTCACATGATGAGTGCTAAAAATATATTACTGAGACCATGTCGATTCTGAAGTATCTAGTTTTTCCTCATGTTATCGCTCATGCATATGTAATGGGTTAAGAATTTAGCCACTAAACATACTTAAAAATGGATGAATTCCATTGCTTTCTTTCCAAAAAAGGGAAGATAAATATGAAATTAATTTTTTTTTATATATATAAAGTACAGTGTTTAATCAACAGTTTATATTATATTGTAATATTAGTAAACATTATATTAGAATATAATAAACCAGCACCTTGAACCAGCAACCTTCTTGCTGTGAGGCGATTGTGCTACCTACTGCCCTATTGCGTCGTCCTAAAGTTTATACTATATTCATTCTTTCATTTATTTTCTTCTCGGCTTAGTCCCTTTATTAATCTGGGGTTGCCATCTATTTATCTAGCATTTGGGGGTCGTTATTTAGCAATTGTTTTATGCAGTGGAGGCCCATCCAGCTGCAACCCATCACTGGGGAACACCCTGCCACTTTCATTTACACACATGCACTATGAACCTGTACCGCATGTCTTTGAAGAACCGTGGGAGAAACCAAAGGCGACAGCACTACCTACTGCGCCACCGCGTCACCTATTTTATATTATATTATATTATATTATATTATATTATATTATATTATATTATATTATATTATATTATATTATATTATATTTCCTGCTCTTTCCTTTATTTTTATTATATTGTTATATTGGATTATATACAAGCACAATATAATAATACATCTCATTTACACAAATATTTAAGGTCAATTTCTTTTTATGTCAAACTAAAATTTGATCTTTTAATGTTTTATTATTATTATTATTATGTAAGATTCATGAAAAAAACGTCAATTAAAAAATTAAGCAACACAACTGTTTTTAACATTGACAATAATAATAAATAATTATTGAGAATATGATACTAGAACTGAAACAATTACGGTGGAAAATAAATCAGGAATAAATCACATTTTAGAATATATTGGTAGAAATCGGCTATTCTGAGCTGTAATAATATGTCCCACTTTTTTTACACTATATTTTTTTTATCAAATAAACAGCCTCAGTTAACATTACAATTCTTCTTACAATGGTTTTAAAGATAATCTTTTTTGAAACATAATCAGTTAATGCACCTTTTGCAACATATAAATTTAGAATACATATTGTGCTTTTCCTCCAGGTCAATATCTGCTGAATATGAGGCCACTGTGAACCTGAAGGGAATTGATGTGTATCGGTACTTGCTGCCTGTTGATGCTCTGGCTTCTCCAGTTTCCAACCCTGATAACATGTGCTACTGTACAGACCATGAAATCACAAGAAACTGTACCTTAGCTGGTCTTCTTGACATTACTTCCTGTAAAGGTCAGTGTTTTATTCCTCTTAATGCTATGGTTCACCCAAAGATAAAATTATGTAATCATTATATCAGACTACATATTTATCAGATGTGTTAGAGTTTTTTTTCTGCCTAACGCTTAAAAGATGTAAAAAAAAAAAAAAAAGTAAAAAAAGCAGCCATTGACTTGTTCCTATATGGATGCCAATTGCTGCTTTTTTCCAGCATTCTTCAGAATATCTAGTTTTGTTTTGAGTAGAAGAAAGCAGTTCATGTAAGTTTATGCAAGTGTGGGTAAATGGTGAGGATTTTTTTGGGTGAACTATCCCTTTAAAAGGGCGTTTGCAATAGTAACTTTGATGCAAATTATTTATTATGAGTTATTATGATAATAACGTTTTTCCTGAATTGTGACACACACATACCGCACCTGAAAAAAAATAAAAAGGGTCAGCTGCTGTTTACTTCTAATATAAATGCAGTCATCACATTGATGCAAGGAATGTGAAAATACCTTATTGAATGCATTAGTCTTTTTGTGTTTTGTTGTGCAGCATAATTAATTTATTTTAATTAATTAATTAATTAAATATTTTCACAGGAACCCCAGTCTTCATCTCTCTGCCTCACTTCCTCTATGCCAGTATTGAGCTCCAGCAGGGGGTGGTCGGAATGAACCCCAACTTAGATGAACACTCCATATTTCTGGATGTAGAACCGGTGAGTAAACTACTTTATTTGCATAAATGTGCTGTTTTAAATGGTTAGTTTACCCAAAAATTTAAATTCTGCTATTAATTCCTCACCCTCATGGTGTTTCTATTCTCCAAGGCCTTCATTCATCTACAGCCCTCCACTGAAGATATTTTAGATTAAATTTGACATCTCTTTCATCCTGTAGACAGAAATGACCCTGACACAGTTTTGAGTCTTTTGAGAATGTTTTTGGTTTCTTTAAATGTCCTGGGACTGTTTCTGTCTATGAAGGATGGGAGAGCTCTAGGATCTCATCTAAATTATCGTAATTAGAACAAGATGACAGTAAGTAATTAATGACAGAATATTCATTTTTGGGTAAACCAAGTTTTAAGGCAATACACTGAAGTTGAATAGAGTAAAAATAATGATAAGTAATAGTTACCAACACTTTCCTGTGTAAATGATTTTAATGAGTTTTTGAATAATAATAATTTTAAGGTTACAAACATCTGAAGTCAGTTTTTTTTTTGTTGCAATATTTTGTTATCATTCAATCATTCAGAAAAGGTTGCAGATATAAAGATATTTTCAGTTTTATATATAATAAAATGTGTCATACAATCAAGCATATTATTATTAACATATTGCTCATGAAAACTTCAGAATATAGATACGGATGAACCATGCATTTAAAAGCTGGTGATTTATGAGTAAAATCAATTTTGAGAACATAAAATAATAATAATATAACATACAGAAATATGTATTGCAGTTGATTTATACAGACATGAATTGAAAAAGTGAAAGGAAACAATCAAAAGTGTATTTTGGACTAAAATAACACTTTACAAAAAGCCCAGGGGCATTGATAGGTGCATTTTTAAAAAGTGTGTTTTTACCTACAGTGTCTTATCTTGAAACAAGGAAGCATTTAGAAATATTTATGATATTGCAGTTTTTAGATATGATTTTGACTGTACGTCTTTTGATATTTGCAGATTACAGGTTTCACTCTGAGATTTTCAAAAAGGCTTCAGGTCAACATGATGTACGGCCCATCCGACGATATTGCGTATGTAAATCAATATCATGCATTGTCATGAATGCTCATGCACATGCTGAATTTATGCATGCACAACCTAACTTGATGTCTTTTGTTTTTTTTTATCTCACAGACTTTTGAACAAAATCAAGGAGCACACAATTATACCTATTTTATGGTTGAATGAGGTGAGTGTTAATAATGTCTGTTTATGGAAATGTGTAATTTCAATTATATAGTCTATTTTTGTTTAAATAATTATGCACAATTAAACATTTTAACTAATGACTAGTTGTATATAATTGAGGATAATATATGATCTGGAAATGGTTTACCAAGGCTGCATTTGTTATATCAAATCCGCAAAGCGGATTTTTCCATCCTTATATTAGAAAATATGGAGTATGACACGTCCTGAATGCGTTTATGCCCTGCGCTTTCCGTTTTGCGCATGGACCATCAAAATAGAGCCCATAATCTTATACTAAAAATTAGAGCTATTAAGGTTGAACTAGGGATAAACCTCTGCTATATACAGTAAACACGGCAGATTCAATTAATATAGTCAGCAAAATCATATTTAATATGATAGTTCACCCAAAACTGACAATTGTCATCATTTACTCACCCGTCACATACACATTGAGTTTTTTTTTCTTGCACACAAAGAAAAATATTTTAAGAATGCTGAAAACCCCATTGACTTCCATAGTATTTGTTTTTCCTTGAAGTCATTGTTTACAGATTTCTTCAAAAAATCTTATTTTGGGTTCAGCTGAAAAGGTATTGAAGTGCTTGAGCTAAATTGAAAGTAAATATTAATTTTTGGGTGAACCATCCCTTTAAATCAAATATACAATATACACTGTAGTTTGTACTGGGACTAAATCTCATTTCTATTGCCAGACTCAACAAAAGCATCATGATAAAACATGTTGACTAAGTTTAGATCTGTTATCTCTGCTTTAAATAAGTACTTTAGACCCGTTGGGACCAACAAAGTAATTCTGAAATCTTACATCTGATATATGAGGAAAATTATTACAGTCCATAAACAGCTAATCTCACATGTGCCTGACCTCAGATTGTTTCACTGCTGTAAAAGGTTTTGTTTTTTCTGTATGTTAGACGGCCGTTCTGGACGATGAGACGGCCAAAATGTTCAAGAATGAGCTGATTTCCCGGATGGACATGCTGGAGGGCTTACAGATCGGACTTTTAGTAACTGGTTCGGCAATATTTCTGGGCTGTATGATCGGTTTGATTGTGGTGTGCTCGAAACCGTCAAAAACGAATCTTTCTTAGGTTAAATAAAGGGAGGGATTCTTGTTGCTGAGTGGGAATTGTATAGTGTAACTGTAATCTGATCTCAGAATATGGCAATTCTATTTATATATAATTTATAGACTCTGCAGTTTTTTGTGGAGAACAATGATTTCTTTGTGTATTTGCTTGATATTGTATCAAGTCATACTTTAAACGGTTATCAGGGCAAATATTCTGCCATTTTGTGGTCTTACTGTGGTTAATTTCAAAATGAAATAGTTTTGTATGTCCGCACAATTTCAGTAAAACAAAGAACTGTGAAACTTGGACCGTTTGCTGTTTTTTGTTTTCTTTTTCCTTAGTCATTGTCCTTTAGTCAAATATCAAGTTCTGCTTTTCCGTGCACCAAGAACAATCACCAGGCTGAAGAAGAGAGAAACAGATTGGAACGGATTTCTCTGTAAATCCACTGATTTATTTTTTCACTTTCCAATGGCTCAGAATGGGAGGGTTTATAGAACAAGAGGCCTTTGGTTGAGTGAAAAACACGGGTTTGTTTAATATGAGAGCAGGACTGGGAGTGAGCCATGTCTCTGCTTCATGAATTATAAAATGCCACTGGTCATCATCTCTGAATGCAGCTTTTCTACTTTGGTTTGAGCCATGGGGTTTGAAATGGTAAAGGGCAGAGCTTTATACTGTACTTGGTGACAAATGTTCACTGCTAACATAATAATATGTATGATCACTCAAAATAATAACACTCCAATAACTACTAACTTTTGTTAGAATATATAAAGCTCTAAATGATGGGCCTGTTTAATGCTTGATTTTATTTTATTTTTTCAGGGAAAAGCACAGATGTAGTTCCAGGCAGGTATTGAGCATGTTTCAGTGTTCAATGCATGTTGGAAATATTCTGATTTTTTTTTTTACTGTGAGTGACTATATGTAGACTGTTCAAAGATACAAGATGAGTGGTCTTACATTTACCCGCATTGAAAACCAATTTTTATTCAATTAGTTGTTTATCATTGTTTTAATGTAGCTACCTTATGTTTTTGCAGTCACATGAAAACAAATCAAGACATAAATTAAAATAAAATATATCATTAAAATTCACAGGAAATTTCAGATTTTCGCACTCCAAATGCCTTGGATACCAAAAAAAAAAAAAAAAAAGTCTGCAAAATGCTATCAAAAGCAAATTTGCCATTAAAAAAACAAAACAAAAAAACATTATTTAGGTATTTCCAGGGGTCTGGTGGTTTTAGAGCTTTTATCTTAATTCTATACGCAAAAAAATCGAGTATTAAAGCTATTCAAAAGGTAATTAATACCAATTTGAATGAATAATGAATTACAACTTGTGGCTCATAATAATGATATTAATAATTATTGTAATTATGGTAATAAATTTAAATAGAATACATGTATTAATAGCCAACACAGTATCAGCTGTTTAAACAGTAGCCTCATAACTTTATGACTTCATAACATTGATATTGACCACTGTGCTTTGTTTTTGGCAACTGTACAACGTTAAAACCATGGTCGTGATAACGGTGCATATTATCACCTGTAGGCACGAGTTAATCAGTTTAATTAGCCAAAAGCGGTATTTAACTCATTGAAGCTGTTCTTAAAACAGGCTGGAGCAGCTCTTTTGACGGACAGCGACTGATTGGACTGTGGACATAAAAATACGTCTTACATGTACGTTTCTTCAAGGTAGCAAAAAAAACGGGAAATTTTATCGACAAATATAAGCTATGCACTCAGATGACAGCACGAATTCAGTACAAATGTCGGTAATTTAGTAGAAATGAGTATAATTCTGAACAAATTTGTTGTATTTGCTATTTATTCATTCTTATATTTCCTGTCATAAATATACTGTATAAAGGCAAAACGAGGTAGGCCTGTGTTCAGAACAAAAACGTCTCTGTTGAAACCCAATAAAACTAAATATCCTAATATTTAATCCCAGTGCCATTGAAGCAAAATGCCATACCTTCTTTGTTAATAAGCCTCCATTTCCATTAACAGGTTTTAAAACTGGAAAATTTGTTAATAAATGAATAGATATGTTAATAAATTGTGTTGAAATTATGCACTGATGTGGATAACAGTCTGTTTTGTATGTGTGTGTTGGGAAAACTAATGTGCGTGTGTGTGTTTGTGTGTGTGTGTTGTATTTTTTAATGTGGTACTGCACAAAAAGTATGCTGTTTCTGATCATTGATTTATCTTGGCCAGTAATATATAGAAAATAACCTTTTTATCCATTAAAAATCATCACTAGTTATAATCAGGGCTGATACTGGTAAAGAAATCTTTGTTATTAAAATGGGTATTTATTAAAATGTTACATGTAAATGATTGAAGTATTACTTTTAATACCATTTTAATAACTTTTTTAATGACCCAAAGGTTACTTTTTTTTTACTACAAATGTTATTCATTTAATATAAATAAAATACAGTACTATGAACTAGTTATTCAACTGAGAGTTCCTGACACATGTAAAAGTTTGAAGTTGTTTTAATGCAGTTGTTCAGGCTTATATCATTAATAAATAGGTATACACAAATCAAGACATTTAATAAAATAAAATTATCATTAACATTTACAGGGAATACAGCATATTTGCTATAGAATATTGTTAAAACATTATTGTTACTCAAAATGCCCTTTGGAGAGCACACAAAATGCCACAGAAAAAAATACTTTTGCAAAATGCAGATTCGGTCGAAAATTTTGGCATTAAATTAAATTCAGACGTGTCAGGTGGGAAAAAACAATCTGTATGTGATTAAAATCCATATAAAAAAATCCATATAAAGAAAACTATTGCAAAACTGAAGAGTGACTGAACTTCTCTTTTGTTTTTTAGAGCTTTTAAACTATTTAAATTATTAAAATACAAGAAAACAAAAACATAAGTTACACAGACAGAGTAATCCCAAACTGAAAGCTGTACAATGCTATACATCATCTAAAATACGTCACAATCACATTACAAATGTGCACAAACCAGAATACATTAACAAGACATTCATTCCCATCATCGTCAAACATGTGCAGGAATAACAATTAAACAATATGCATGATCACAAGCCTCCATGAGCCTATTCTTAAGAGATCCAAACACTATGGCACTGCTGGGGCTTAAGTACTTTACAAATAATCTTTATTCTGGTTCAGCATACCATTTTAATAAGAGGAAAACGTGCACATACTCTCACATTTTATACCAATAGCAAGAACATTTTAACTTTTTACCTCATGTCATTCTTTTCTTTCAGGAAACCCAAAAGGAGATATTTTGAAGAATGTTCAAGAATATAAAGGACAGAACATGTACGGTGCAAGTTCTACGGGTTTGAAAGGTCATGAGGGTGAGTAAATGATGACAAACTGTCATTTGTGTGGGTGAACTATCCATAAACAGCTACACATTTTGAACTAACAAGGTTTTCTGAGGCAAAATACTGGGAAAACTACACAACAGTACAGTTTTATGGGCACCTGTCTGGTACAGTTTGAAATATCTCCAAAGAATTTACTCTCCCTTTCTTTTCCCGAATAAACATCTGTGGTGCAGCTGGCCTGATGTACTTTGGTCTACGTTTCCAAGAAATATTCCCATTCTGTGACCATAAATAATGAATTTGCTCGAAAAACAAGCTTTTGCTCTACATGATATGAGCTCAAGTTTGCAAAATTATTAATAAAGTTATCATTCTCATGTGGGGAGGCCAAAGATAAACTGTTTATTTTTCATGCCATTTTGAAGCTTATGTAGGTAGTCGTAGGTAGTAAAATAGAAGTTTACTATATTCAAAGGAAATTTAAAAACAAAAAGTCAAATTTGGGTCACACTTTATTTTTCACTGTTAACAAACCATTAACGATGACTTTTAGCTCAAAAAACGTAGAATTTGTATCTTATATTAGTTATTGTAGTTGTGTTTAGTTGTTTTTAAGTACTAATAAGCAGCCAATTACTCAATAATGTGCATGTTATAAACCAACTAGTTAATAGTGAGTTTTGGTACCTAAACTACCCAAGTATTATCCAGATTTGTTGCCGTAAACATGACTTTTGCTTGGACCAAGCTTGGGTTGCTAAAAAAATATGTCTACAACACTTGTGATTACAACAATGTGTAGCTTTTAGTCAGTGTTTGTTCACAATATTTGTGTACCTAAAACAAAATCAATACTGTGATATTCTTATAAAATTATTTTTAAAAATGAGTTTAAAAGACCTCAAAACACTGCTAGTATAGTGCACATAGTGTATGTATAGTAACAAAGTATATGTAAATGTAAGGCCAAAAGCATAATATGCTGATGATTCTAATTTTATGCAATTATTATGTATGAATTAGAAACCAAAACCGATATGTTGAGGGTTTTAGAGTGTACTCACACTAGACACGGTTGTTTTGAACCATGCTCAGGTGCAATTGTCCCCCTCTCCCCCTCTGCCTGCACTCATACTGTTATTTTACTTTCTAAGTTTGAGCATGATTGCGTCATCGATAATGCAATTGTATAGTTTAACAAATGAGTAGCACTCTTGCTCAGTACAGTGAAGATTGCTTCAGTTGTTTTATTTTATTTTAAGTAGTTTGAAATGAAGTGATACACAATCAAATCTCCTGCTGAACAGATCCTCTACTTTTGACACTCATAAATGTTCATGTAAGTCATTGTGCTGCAGGTTTGCTGAAGGTGGCAGCTGTTGGGGTTTATGTTTAATAAACCATGACGTTTCACGTTCATTGAAAAGACTGATTAATAAATTTAGATGAAACAGTCTATTAAACGTGACGTTGCATCTTTAGTTTTGTGCTCAGGCGTGATTTGCACTCAGATTACAAGCGTACCTTGTTAAAGCCCAACCAAACTGCGCTCTGGCACACCTCTTCCAACCGAGACAGGGCCGGCCAACTGAACCATGCCTGGGCCCGATTCAGAGCACTAACACTTGTCACACAAACCGGGAAATAGGGGTCATGTGTGCCTGGCCCTTTTCGGATAGCCAAGTACGAGAACACCCTTAATCTCTATCTGTTAACTGTGAAGCTAAAGCATGTTTACTCCTCTAAGTTGACAAAATAAACCTTTACTAGATACATTTAAAATTGTATATCTCTCCCTGAAAAAAACTTGAGGGCGTATACACATTTTTGTCCAATCAGATGATCTGTCCTATTTACCTTGTATTAGAAATCATGTTACTCCTAAATCATGACAACAAAAATAAAAATTATATAAACATTTTAAAATCTCTTTCTCTCCAAAAAAAAAAAAAAAAAGACGATGAAAAAAAAAAAGATGACTGATTTTGCACTTAGGGGCATATCCAAATTTTTGTCCAATCAGATGCTCTCCAGAATGAGACTGTCCTTTTTGTTAATACTTGACAAGTATTAGAAAGTATTACATAAACATTTAATCAGGTTATTGGCTAAAATTAAAGACAAGTCTTTCAAAGTGTCCAACTTTCTGTTTAAATATGAAATGCATCAACACGGGAAAGAAAACCGTGCTCGTCAAATAATTTCACCGGACTTTCCACGGACTTGCATTACTTTGTTTGTTCTGAAATGTTGCATCCACATACATTAAAGCAAAACACAAACTGAGTGCCTGTATGTGTGTTTGAGTCTCTCTTCCTCCTCTATATAAGACTGTTCTACAGGAAGCACCTGAGATGCTTTGAGCTTGAAGAAGACAAAAAAGCCAGTTTATAGCAAAGGAGACTTCTCCTTTATTTCCCTCTCGAGTTCTTTCCTAAAACATGTCTTTATTCCTCCATCATCTCTCCATCCACTTTTAGTCCTGCTGTAAGTGATTTCGGCGGTTCCTGCTCTTCCTGTGGTCCAGCAGGGGTTTGAGTTTTCCCAGATCTCCTCTCATGGGGCTCTGTATGCTCTGCAAACTCTGCATCTGCTTGCGTTCTTTGCAGTATTGATGCATGGCGAGCGTCTCAGCTGGACTGAAGGCCGACACCAGGGCTTTGGGGTGCAGATTGGCTGTCCAGCCCCAGGGAGACTGTTGTTTATTGCTGAGGGCGCTGACTAGAGCCTCGCTCAGCACCTGTAGACGGATCTTTGCCAGTGTGCGCTTGAAGCCGTTCTCTGTGGCCAGACAGTAGTAGAGACCCTGGTCTGAGGAATGAACGGAGCGGATGAGCAAACCGTGATTGGTGGACACTACACGATCACTCAGCTTCACCTGTACACAGACAGACAGAGGAAAGACTTTTAGTGAATAAAGAAATACTACGAAAGAGAAGAACAGCATTTAGATGGTTTTTAGGTTTGTATTTAAAACCGGCAAAATGTATATGCTTGTGTATATAATAGTCAAATATTTAAGTGAATGCTGTTTTAATAAATGTTACACATCTAAAATAACATTTAGGCAAATATATAGCAGTTTTTGGGTCCCACTTTATATTAAGTGTCCTTAACTAATATATACTTACACAGGAATTAATAGAATACAATAGAATACAATGTACTTATTGTGTAAATACATGTATTTACTGTGTACTTATGCTTGATTAAATACATGTATGTAATTACATCTGTAATTAACTTTTGTGATTACATTTGTAAATACACTGTTGACCACCCCTTATACCTTGACCCTCCCTTAAACCTACCCATGCCACCAAACGCAAGTGCAGGTTGCCAGATTGACAACACTAAGATTGATTAACGCCAGATTAATTAACAGCAGTGTGCCTGACTGTCGATTTAAACCGTGTTCTAAATGAAAGCAACGGCACACAATAGAAAGAATATTTTCCATATTAAAAGGAGTTTTTGTCCTAATCAACGCCTGGAATTTATATTTTAGAAACGGCTTCTATTTCTTGCAGCTGAACAACAGGATAAACTAACATTGTTTACCTCTGGTACACCTCAGGTGCTTTATTCAGTGTTAAATGCTAATAATTCGAGTTTGAATGTCATTTCATATTACATTTATTGACATAATACTATAAACAGCAGCACATAGTTGACCTCAGATCTTGAAAATAAAATAAACCCTTTAAAATGGAACTTTAATGCAAGCCAGCACATACCAGTGATTCAGCATGTACATTGAATAATGTTAAAGAGGTTTAATATGTATTAATTAGATTTTAAACCTTACGATTTAGATGGAGTGCAGTGTATTATTCTGTGCTTCTAGATAACTATATTTAAATTTTTGTTGTGTTTCGTCTGCAGCAAACTCTACCCTCAAGTAACGTGTTGTTAGGACACTAGGTTACAATGTAACCTTCTCACCTAGTTTTTACGCTCATAGTATTTATATTGTTTCTAATTAATAACTACTTTATGTATTTTACTTCAAAGTCTGCTACTGTTCATTGTACTGTAGGTCGCATTTTGGTCACGGACGCACACATTGAGAGCCTTACTGACTAAATGATTGAAATACACGGTTTTCCACCAAGACAACCCGGGGTGCTTAAATATTATTGGATAAACTAGAATTGGGCTGGTTAAATTACCAAAACCAAGACAGTCGTTCCGGCATGTAACGCACATTTTCAAAGCAGAATATCTGACTTCAGCATTGTTTTTCACATAAACAAGTATGTTCACTTGGCATGTTTCTTAAATATCTGCAAACAAATGATAGTATTATTATGCTTTAGAAGAGTCAAATACTTACGTTACTAAACTCTGTAAACAGGGCTTTTTTCTTACAACAAATTGTTAAAATCATAAACACACATGCATATACGTATTTATGTAATATAAATGTTTTGAATGATGTATAATATAATTAATACATAATTAATATAATATAATATAATATAATATAATATAATATAATATAATATAATATAATATAATATAATATAATATAATAATAATTTTATTATTTTTCTAGAATATAATTTTTAATGTAAGAGTATTGTTACCATAAGCACAATTTTATAAAGTGTGTGTGTAAATATTCCAATTTTAGTATAATATTTGTGTTAATTGTTATGAAGGCATACTGTATGTATGTATGTATATATATATATATATATATATATATATATATATATATATATATATATATATATATTTGTCTTGATCTTATTACCCTTTTTTATTCTAGTTTTGCATTAACGGTTTAAATCTCCAGGTTGCTGATAAATCATAGCAAAGACTTGATGATATTTCACCAACGATAGTTCAGTGAGCATAACTGACATTGAGTATCACTGTCTGTGTGTCACATTGTGTCAATTTGGACAGGTTTGTCTGACCTCTTTCCTGCGATCGTTGTCTCTCTGAATGAGCCATTTAACCGAGGCCTGGGGAGATTTCGGCTGACACTCCAGGAAGGTGGTGTTGTTTTTGACTCCATACTGAGTCATCTCCACTGCGTTCCTGTAGGCTGAAACAAGACATCAAGCGTTAGCCAGCTTTCTCACACACTTAGCGCATACTAATCAAACCATGTACTCTCACTCTAACAACTGCAGATGAGTTCACGGAGTATACACTAAAATATAAGTCGTGTAATTGGATAAGTGCTCTATACACTGGCCAATGATATCATACATTCAGCATCTGTCTTGACAATATGCTACTTTTGTTTTGCAGCTGGGAAAATGCTTCTACTGCTCGTTAAGATTGATATTAAATAAATCGCATGCATCCAAGTGTTGAACTGAGTCATCTGGATCACTGACAGTATTGGTGCCAATTGTATTCAAATTAGCAGGTGTTCTGGTCCTGTGACAGATTCGTCTTTCGCAAGGGCGGAGAAAATGATACAAACATGTGAGACAGAAGGAGAGAAAGATGTGTGAGGCAGCATCTCAATCTGCATTAGTTAGGCACTGCAAATGTGTACATCAGTGAGCTAGTATACTGTATATGTATAGTATGTACATACGTATGTTTATAAAAATGTCATGGTAGAATGGGAAAACTGCATGTGGTTATGATAAACTGACTTTGATGTGTTAGCGGTTTAGCATTAGCATTGGCTGCGCACATGTCAGAATTAACATAATTGACTTGGATATTCTACTCGAAGCAGTTTGAAATTGTTGGTTTCTATGGCAACATTCAAAAACGCCAAAATGTTCCCATTTGTAGATATGCTGTTGATGAGCAAAATACTTAGTCACTAGATTGATTCACGTCTAGTCTTGGAAACGGCTGAAATTTTTGTTCTAAACCAGACGTGGCTTTCTAGAAACAAGCTTATATTTAGAAAGGAAACAGGAAATTAGGAACTGACAAATGTGTTGTGTTACAATGCTTAATAAAAATAAACATTTTAGGAACTCAAGCAAGTAAATTGAGTTCAGTTGTATTCAGATTAATTCTGGTTGAAATTGTAATGTAGAAGAACAACGGTGTAATTATTCTTTACAAATAAAGTTTATTATTATTATTATTATTATTATTATTATTATTATTATTATTATTATTCATTAATTCATTCATTCATTCATTTTCTTTTTGGCCACAGTGGAGTGAACCGGCAACAGTATATTTATCACACAGCGGATGCCCTTCCAGCTGCAACCCATCACTGGGAAACACCCATACACTCTCATTCACACACATACACTATGGCCAGTTTAGCTTTTCCAGTTCACCTATACTGCTTGTTTTAGACTTGTGGGGGAAACCAGAGCAGCCGGGGGGAACCCATGTAAACACAGGGAGAACATCCAAACTCCACACAGAAATGCCAACTGATCTAACCAGCGACCTTCTTTCTGTGAGGCGACTGTGCTACCCACTGCACCACCGTGTCGCTAACATTATTATTATTATTATTTTAAAAAGTAAATTCTTCTGCACAATATTAATGTATTTCAGTCTCAATAAATGTTATCAAGTAAAACTCATTTTAAAAGGCTAACATTAATGTAATTAAAATCATGACTAGTGCTTGAGCCTGCTTGAACCTACCTGCTTTTTGTCAAATGCTGGAGTTTGTATAACAGTTTATGATAGTTAAAGTGGCCATCTTGTAATTCTCTATGCAGTAAAATCCCTGTTTACCTGAGAGATCTTAGAACCGTTTAGCACAATAGTGAAAAAGTGGCTAATGGATGTTGATGTAGGTGACACAATTGTTATAAAAATTTTTAAAAAGTTGCAAAAGCAAGTAAAAATATATGCAAATCATGCCAAAACAAATATTGGACTTCTTCAAAGGGTTTTATCTGGTTGATGATGCTTGCCTGTGTACAGTAAGGATGATCTCATAAAACTGAAAGGTATCAAGCTTATACAGACATCCATCACAAAGCTATAAATGCACTAAATAAAACACTATAACTACAGTATGGATATTTACATTAGATGTCGCCTTCGCAGTTTTTGTCTATTGAAAGGAATGTGTCAATAGAGCTGCCATTTTGGTATCAGGTAGCGCTCTTTTGAAATTTATGTGGGACTAAGGTGCAGTGGAGGACTGGCCATCCGGAGCCATAGATATATAAACATATACATATATTAATGATCGGAAGCTTTCCCAGTATGCAATTTTATTTTTTTTTTACGAAAATGGTAATTTTACATCACTTTTCTACATTAATAAATAAGTGTATTGCCCACAAAGAGCGAGTGATTGTGTGAATTGTTAAATGTTAAATGTGCAGTAAGTCACTGTATTATCTTAAATAACCTTACTTTTTCTATAGTTTGTAACATACAAAATCATAAAAAAAATTAAATCTTGCTCATAAAATGTTCTGCTATTGTGCTTTGTTTTCTTTGTTTGCTCGTTTCTACACCCGTTTCTACACCTGCGCTAAAGCCCAGAATCTTCAGATTGGCTTTGGTCTTGACTTAGTGCTGTCGAATGACATTTGTCCTGGAAGCACTGTACTAATATGATGACGGTATTGCTTAGGGTTCGTATACGATATCTAGTGTATATACCTATGTACACTCAACATGAACACATCGTATTTCATTTAAAACATTCGGAGAGCATTTACAAAATGCTTTGTTTTCCTGGACAAAAACAAATTCTCAATTTAGATGGAAGGCTAAATGGTGGAAAAGAAGGTTTTCAAACTAAATGTATTATGTGTGGACATTAATTTGAATATTCATTAACCAAACAAAGTTGCATTTACATAAAAATTAAGAAGACACTGCCACAAATATAAATTAAATGTAAATATGAATCAAAATAGTTACATTTACATCTACATGAAAAAAGTTGCAACTGCAAAATAAAAAAGGTCTCAAAATCACCATCATGAAAATTTCTCATCATGTCTCAGCACAGGACTTGATTTTTATTTTCTTAGCCCAAGTGTTGACTTGCAGGTAGTTTTTACCTTTCAGATTGAACCCTCTGCACTGAGTCAGTGGATTTCCATGCATAATATCCTGCCTTCTGCTTCTCCTGCAATAACATTTACACAGGATTAATATAGCATTTTTTTCATATACACATTCTTTCCTTTAACTCTTACTTTCTCTCACCTTTTATATTCATCTCTTCCTAAATGTTTAAACACTTTTATTTTTATAAAAAACACACTGAGTTGTGAAAGTCACATTTTAGCTTCATTCATCTCAATTAACACAATTCAGCTGTCAAAAGTGCAGTGGAGTGAAATGTCTGTCTTTTCCACTTCATTACTCTCGTGTGATGGGTGTGCCTTCTTTCAATATTTTCCCTACCCAACACATCTGGAGTAACATCAAGAGACACTGTTTGGCTAAGGTATCAGATTAGTTTTTAACATGCCCCATTCTGAAATAATCCTCAGTGTAAACATTCATGAATATGTATTGTGTGGGCTGCTCTGTTCGATTGACAGGCCGTACTGTATGGCTGCTTCTGGATGGTTTCTGAAATTTTCTCACCCAGTTGCCAGTTTAAGTTATAATGCGAAAAAATCCCAATCAGTTATAAATAATTGTTATTATGACTGACCAAAAACAAAAAAAAAAAAAAACATTTATGCATGTGTTTGTATTTTACATGATTTCATGGATTTTCATTTGAAATTGGGCTTTGCAGAGGAGCAAATGTAGTGATACAAAACAAAAGAAAGTGATAAGGAGGAACAAAAGTGGGTGGGATATGCAATATTCATTTTATTATTTATTTTTTATTTTATTTTTTATTTATTTATAATTGCTGGAATTTTGCACCACAAAAACATTGTGACCCTGTCTGAACAGGAGGTCATAGTTGAACAAGTTCCTATTGTTGTCACCCAAGTCAAAGTCCCTTTAAGACAAGTCATTTCACTCGACGGCCATCTTTGAAACGTATATTTGGAATCACCAAAAATATTAAACAACAAATGTCTCATAAGTTTAGTTTCCAAATGTTTAAATCAAATAAAATCTGCATTTTTTTTAGGTCGCTAATGTGGATGCACACTTGAAAGGAATAAAAACACGACCCCAATTTCATTTATGAACTTGTTACACATTATTATCCTCTGGATAATACTTAGGCTGATCACGCTGGTCTTGAGAAGTAATTCACAACTTGGTCTTGATGGCAAGTCTCCAGAAATGAAAGTGACTCTTGTTTACAAGTTTGTGGATGTTTGAATAGTTGCTGTCGTGTGATATGCTTTTGACAGGATTGACTGTACCTCGCGTTTGTTTCGTATAGATTACAAAATTAAAAAACTTTTGTTTTCAAGTGTAGTTTGTTCATTTAAAAGCATGTCAAGCTTTATCTGGATATATTTCTTATCTGTAAAGCAACTATACGTTGATATTACAGTGCGTCTGTTACCCCAAAAACTGTTGGAAATGCACGCGTCTGGTCCGAGCCTCTCCTCCGGAAAAATGCTAGTCTATATCAATCAATGATTGGCTCTTGTACTAGTAGGCGGGGCTTTATTCACCATATTGACATTTACACTTTTCCCCATTCAAAACTGTACGAATAAAACATCTTGTGTATTCTATAGTCTTTTCCGAGCTGTACTAAAAAAATGGTTAAAAATGTAAGAGAATGTACTTAGAAAGAAACTGCTTATATACATTTTAGGCATGTCAGTAATTCACATATATAAATGAAAAATATATATCTTTGAAATGAAAGTGTGAAGATATTATAGCTTTTTTGCTTATATTTACCTAGGTTGCCAAAACAAGTGGAGAGAAAAGACTGTGTAATATAAATAGCTGCAGAGTTTTATCATCTGACTCAGGAAAATCTTTGGCCAGAGATCTTTAAAGTGTAATAGTGACAAAACAAATAATAATAATAATATGCAGGGGTTTGGGGTTTGTTCAAATCCCACAAATTATTTTTTAGCCCAGACTGTGTGTCGCTGCATTATGACCAAATAAACCGTTAATCGTTTATTTCTACCCACTGCTACGGCAATTTATGCCACCCTGAGAATTGGTGAGTGTGAGTGTGTGTGTGTGTGTGTGTGTGTGGGTGTGTACCTTTTGCCAGTGGGATAGAATCGGGAACAGCTGAGACCATCCCAGGCGCAGTAAGGGTCCCGTGCTAAACAGCAGTCCGCACAGGCAGAGCCGTATGCATTGCAGCGGTGTAAAGACACCTGGGAGATCCCATGCTCAGAGCTAACATACAGCTGTTGCTGGAACACAAACACACCACGTATCACAAAAGCTGTTCATTTAACCCATGGGACTGGAGACAAGATAATTACCCAGAATTAAAGCGACTCCATTTCCCCCGCCACAATTTATCACCACCCCCACTTACTATATGTGGCGCCGAGACACAAAATGCAACTAGACAAAGGAGCTAGTAAATGTAGAGTAGTTACCTTTTTAGAGGAGATTCTTAGGTTGGTAATGGGAGACTGTGTCTATAAAAAAGAAATATGGAAAGGATTTTTAGTTAGGATATTTATTGAAGTCAAATTAAATAACCTCCAAATTAGCTTAAATTTCATTGTTTTTTGTCCATTTTAATGCAGTGTGTTAATGTTAAATGTAAGGTTGCACAATATATCGTTTCAGCATCGATATTGCAATGTGCACACCCGCAATAGTCTTTAAATGTCTGAATGATAGTTTACTGAAAGTTTACTGAATTTAGTTACTGTATTTATACAGAATATATTTGATTCATGCAAAAATAGGTTTTTCTTATTGAGAATATGTCTTTTTCTGGTCCAAATATATTTACATTTTAAATTGAAATCAAGATTATTTAACTTTTCCCACTGGCAGATCATTTAGCTTGTTTTTAGGAAAAACTCTAAATTTTGACTTCTTAAGTTAAAAACATAAGAACTTTTAGATATTTGGACTAGAAACAAGACAAAGTAAAAAAAAAAAAAAAAAAAAAAAAAAAGCATTTATACTGTTAGGCTTCCAGAAAACCTTCAAATAGTGATATCTTGTGCATCTTGTGTATTCATTTCGCAATATTTATTGAAGAACGAATAAAATAACACAATATCAGATTTTTCCAATATTGTGCTTCCCTAGTAAAATGTAATAATGTATTCTTGAAATAAATATTTTAGACAAGGTCAAGTCACTTGACAAGGCAGGGGTGTCCAAACTCGGTCCTGGAGGGCCGGTGTCCTGCTGAGTTTAGCTCCAACTTGCTTCAATACACCTGCCAGGAAGTTTCTAGTATATCTAGCAAGAGCTTGATTAGATGATTCAGGTGTGTTTGATAAGGGTTAGAGCTAAACTCTCCAGGACACCAGCCCTCCAGGACCGAGTGTGGACACTCCTGGTTTAGGGCAACCTAAAAAGACATCACTGATGCCTTTTGACCTTATTGTTCAATGCGGAAGTGTTAGGAGTTAAGAGTTTATTTTCTTAATGAGTTATAGGTGTGTTTTGAGAATAAACCAATTATAATCTCATCTCCTATTCCCTTTAAGAGCCAGCTGCATCACGCCATAAGCGCATTTTGACGTTAAGTAAGTTCACTTTCACTTTTGCTCTCGTGGATAGGGAAACCTTTACGCACAGACATCAAATAGCCTATAAATAATTAATTTAGTTTGTTAAGTGCAAAGATTTGTTTCAAAACTATTTCTAAATTCAGTTCTAATTTCTAGCAAACGAATAAATGAACAATAATAACCAAGTGTGGTCAAAATACTGAGTTATTTCCAAATACACCTGCCATGCCCGATATGGTCTAAAATTTGACAGGTGGACAAATCTAAGCTAGTTTTTAATAAAACAAATATAAATATGGATATAATAAATAATTCTGCTAATAATAATAACATTATACAAAAGCAAACTGAATGAACTGAAAAAGCCTCCCGAGATGAAGAAAGTAAGGCAGTGGTTTTTAAATCTACATGTAGGCTAGAAATTAATATGTTTTGTAATATTTTAATCATTTATATTTATATCCACTATATATATATATATATATATATATATATATATATATATATATATAAATCTTTAAAATAATATATATTTTTCATATGTAAAGATATTTGCGTATTGCTCTGCATCTTGTTTTGCTTTGCGCCAGACAATAGTTCGACTTTGTTCTGGTCTAAAGATCAGACTATTTACAGTTTCTCAAAATAGCAACGCGCCAAGACACGCGTGCTTTTTTAGACCAGAATGCCTATGGGCGCACATTTGAGCGCAAATGCATTTGCTATTTAAACAGTGTGGCGCAACACCTCAAAATGCCCCTTGCGCTGAGTTAAAAGTACCAAAAGACTATTGCGCCGCGTCTTGCGCCACATTGCGCCGGGTGTATGATAGGGCCCCTAAAAATCAATGGAAGTGAATGAGACCAGAAGTCTCGAACCAAAAACATTACAATGGCTACGTCGACTTGTATATGAAGAATAAGGTCAACAAACCTTCTGTAAGAGATTTACGCAACAAAAATTTACCAAAAACTTGAATATATACTTCATTAATACTTGAATCTTTTTTTCAGTTGTATGAATTTTTGAATAGTGTTGTTTGCAATGCTGTCAAATTGATCTGTATTCATAGATGCACAATAAATAAAAAATCATTTGCCAAGCCCTTATGACTATAAACTGAACATGTAATGCACATTGTCACAATTTTTGTTAAATACTCAGAAAAGGCATTTTTCATCTCTAAAATGTAGGACTCTATGAAATCCATTTTGTTTTACCCGAAATTCATAATTTTTCTGAACTCTTTCAAAATGTATGTTCTATAATTTATGATGTAATCCTGCAACCTGTTTATTTTCACAACCATTTCATAGGACTTTTACAAATTAGAATTTTTCGAACCCTATGAAATGTTTTGTTTTATAAAATATAACCAAAAACAAAGATTCAACCAGATTAAACCTTTTTATTCCTTATATGTTATAATTTTATTAATTTCTATTTTGTTAAATTTATGATATGAAAATAGCTTTTCTCACCGAAAGAAATTGGAAATTCTGAATTGTTTTATTTTCTGATTCAGCAATGCTCTTTATGTTATGATATCCACATTATGGATATCATAGAGCCCTACCATTCTCATGTAAAGAAAACTTCCTAAAAATGGCTAGATAATTTCTATGTCCTGTTTCATTTAACTGTAGTTCCAGGACACTCTGAGATAAAAGATGTTGTATCTCAATGGCACCTTTCTGGTTAAATAAGTAAAATAAAAATTTACAATGTGGGTGAAAAATGAGATTTTGCTACTTTTGGTACTTTAAAAAAAATCGGTTCAATTATTAACTACTGGCCATATGCAATTAGAACTAGTTTTTTAAGGTGATTTTCCTTTTGATTAACTGGGCATCCTTAGTCATGTCGATTAATACACAATAAAACCACAATTTAAATGAAAAATTGGGTATTTGAAGTGGTTGCCAGAAATTTATTTGCAGATTTTCAGCCTGTATGGAGATGCCAACTTAAATAGCCCACTGAGCTATGTGTGTGGCATTTCATGGTCAATAAATTGATTCATGATGCTAAAACTATTTTGACGAATTCAAGCAGCTTAAAGCAGCTCATGAGAAACTTCACGACGTAACCTTTTTCTCACCTCATGCATCTTTTTTTCCCATTAAAAAATCTGCCTTCCCTTAAAATAACATTGAGTTCTAATAAATGCTTTGTGGCACTGCCAGCTCTGCTCCTGCAGTCTGCCCTCGAGATGCTTTGATGTCTGGTAAAAACTCAGACCTTAAACACTTCCAGCTCCTCCAGGATTAGATCCTCATCCAGTGAGCCGTTTGACGGCAAAACCACGACCTTCTGCACCGTGCCTTTATCTGGAAGAGGAATATCAGAACATCAGGAGAACATTGGACAGTCAGGGAAAACAAAAACAACTTCAGTCATTTAGTCTGCATGGGCTTGCTGTGAACTTTCCATTGATCACACATTTTCTCTTTCAAACCTGTTGGCTTGGACGTGTATTTATGTTGATTTTAGCATCAGTTTTGAGGAACAGATCTGAAAACCAGACTTGTTGCTAGTCATCATAGGGGGCACTTCATGAGCAGTTATATTTTTATTTGAGTGACTTTTTAAGAATATTTATAAACTGGTGTTTATCACAGCTACAACTGTTGCAACCCAAAGAATTGTCTTAAATTTCTTTTATAAACAAATAATCATTTCTAGTCACTTCAACTTACATCCATCAAACTGACTAAAATATTAAGTTAAACTGTGTATAACTTAAAAACAATGTGTTGAAACCTGATTAACTAAGTAAAATAAGTTGCAGTAACATTTGTTGTCATAAATTTTTGTAATATATTTTTTTCAACAGTATTAACAAGCTTCTTATTTTAAAACAAAAACCTAATGTATTAATTTGGCATAAGTAATGCATGAGATATTGGTTAAAACTATAACAATTAAGTTTACTAAACACAACATTCATTTTAATTCTGTTATAACTATTTATTTCTGTTGATGTTAATCCATTAACTAGATACGTTTACTATTAAAACCTTATTGCAATGTGTACCAATTGTACTTTATAATGATACTTGTACTTTATAAAACCATCTCTCATAAGGTTCAGCACACCCTGGAGTATTTTTTATTTTATTTTAACAGTTTTCTGTCTGTTGAGCATCAGTTAAGACAATGTTAGCACCTGTCAGCTTTAAATGTGGGGAAAACTGAATAATTTGGAGCTTTTGTGAGCTAATTTAATCTTCCAGGTTTGTTTTTTGGGGCGTTGACGTATCGTGAATCTGGAGTGATGACGTGTGGGTTTCTCATTATTATTCATAGCAGAGTGTTCTTATGAGAAGACCCTGCTTCTTAAGTATTCATGAGAACGTGCTTTCTGAAGGCAAGGCAGACCTGCCGAGCTGTGTCCGAATTACTGGATGAGACTGTGTCCATCATCCACAGGGTTTGTTGCATGATTTTCCGCACAAATCTGTTGGTTTGCAGGCAAGCATTTTTGTCAGGAGAGCTGTACGAGAATTGAAGAATGGGGGACTTTGTCTTTTATCAGAGTTCGTTACTATACAGACACCTATATGCGTGCTGCTGTGCTCGCCTACATTTAAAATCTCCAGATTACCGGGAGAGCTAATGGTTGGAATAGACAGAGCAAGAGACCTGCTACACTGCTATCTGCTGCATCTGCATTCATAGTGCTTATTTAAACATAACTATCTTTATGATGATATAACGTTGTGGTTATGTGTATATGAAATGCCACGCCTACTCCTCCCTCCAGCTCCATCCTCAACTCAAAACATTTTTTGAAGAAAACCTGAGGTAGACTTGAAACGAAAGAGAGGGGTTTCATGACCCTTTAAGTGTATTCAATACATTTAGATACATAACACATACATACAAGCCATACACAAAATGTCGACAATTTTTCTTATCTCATTTAAAGGTGCCTCCCATTAAAGGATAGTTCACCCAAATATGAAAATGACTGATGGATTAATATATAATTTACTTATACTCTACTTTCTTTCCCCAAACCTGTTTGAGTTTCTTTCTTCTGTTAAACCCAAAGGGAGATGTACTGAAGAATTGTGTAAAACACAGCATTTTTTTACAGTGAGCTTACGTCAATATTACTATTATAAGGTATATTGTGTTAAAAGCTTCATGGATTATCGCAACAAAAGTGCCATAAGCCTAGTTCTTGATGGTTGCTAAGTGATTCCTGAAAAGAGCCCACTCTCTAGTCCCTGGATGACCCGTGGCCCTCCTTCAGTGTAAATCCTAAGGGCTCATTCTGCCATCTGCCTGATGAAAATTATTTACTGCATTTCTTTAGATGTCTTAAAGAGACAGCTCACCTAAAAATAAGTTCTGTCATCATTTACTCATCCTCCACTTGTTTTCAACCTGAGTTTCGCTCTTCTGTTGAAGACATTTAGAAGAATGCCAAAGCCATTAAGTTCCATAGTATTTTTTATATTAGAAATGCAAATAGGATTTCTCAGAACATCGTCTTTAGTGTTTTGGATTAACTTATGATGAATAAGTGTAATTTTTTAGGTGTTTTCGTTTAAAGTAATGAGTTTGATACACAAGCCATTTAAGCTCAAGCTCTTTTATATGTTTACACCTAATGATAGATATTTATATTTTACTGTGCATTCAAAGATAAAAACAATAAATAATTTTGCTCTGACTCTGGAAATTCCCAATTTTAAAGGCCAAGATTTGCAAAAAACGAAACCCTGCCAAAAAGAGCAGGCAGGCCGAGCCGCTCAACGCTTCTGGCTTTCCATCAGGAATTTTGATCGGCAAATACAAACAGCTGTGATTTTGAATTCTTTCCAAATGTCCCAATCCCCGTTCCCTAGTAACCGTTGAGCCTGAGTCTGCTGTCATGCGTCTGATTCTCCTCTCAGACAAACACACACGCATCCTTTTATTCCTGCATTCGTATCCCAAGAGTTCATATCATGTCAGGTTTTGCGACGCAGCAGGAATCATAATGTCTATTATTTAACTGATGGCGAAGAGAAGGAAAAACAATGTTTATGGTACTGATGAGATGATAATGTGTGTGGAGCTTGTGTAGACTCAATGCCCTCTAGTGGTAGTCAGTGGCAGACATTTCAAATTCATATTCATATAATTAAATTCAAATGTTTCTATAATATGTATGTATTATATAGATTTATATATCTTGGTCATCTGTTATGTATTGTTATAGATCTGTAAGTGTGAAATGTTTAAAAATGTGATCTGTAAATCTGTAAAATGTGATTAGGGCTCCTCAAAGACCACTGTTGTACTGCTCAGTTTAACCAATTTCCTTCTTTTTTATTAAATAAAATAAAATAATTTAATTAATTAAATTAATTAATTTTAAATAAAAAATATAAACCAAGTTAACTTCCATAATTACAAAAATGGTTTCAATAAGACATTTTATTTTTAACTAAATGATAGTAAATTTATAATTCTGAATGCTATTTTTCACAGAAGTGTCAGTTTGTTATATAAATATTCAACTTTTTAAGATTGTAATGATTTCCATGATGTTGTATGTAATATACATCAGTGATGGATAATGTAATATACATCAGTATATATTAATATAAATCACCACAACATAATATTTCAAGGGCAGTTAAAGTAAAAAATTACTTGAAAAAAGATAAATATTAAAGTACTTATTAAAAATGTACAATAATGAGAAAAATTGCTTTGGCTTAGAGCAGTATTTTGCATTTAATGGTTAGGAAATATGTGATTTAAGTCGAGCGTGTGCTTGCTGCACTGATTTAATGAAGTACAGTTTAATTTAAAGTTTACTAAATGAAGCATAATTCATACTGACAAATTACTTTCAGTAAAAACTTTTCCATCTTTCCTGACTTTTTTGTTTTTAGCTGGAAAAAGCTATTTAGGTTGTCGTCAGGGTCAAGAAAAGTGAAGTGGGAGTTTCTTCCACAACTGAGGCAGTTGCAGAAACATATTGTGGAGCATTTGAGCTGTTTTCCATTCAGTGGTTTTGTAGTCATTAATTTGCTTTGAGATGTGTGGTAATTTACCTGTGCCCAGGAACAGGACCTGGTAGTGGCCGTCTGCTGCTGGGACCTGATCCACCGCTATAGAGGTGTATTTGTAGTCGGCATGCGTTCGCACCACCAGGGGTTTCCTTCCCACAGGGTAGATGGGGTTAAACATGACAGGGTGATTCCTCACAAACGTCACCACATCATCTGGAAACTCTTTAGTGCTCTGGATGTGAGGGGTGAACGCACCACCGGGACACTTGCAGGAGAAAAATGAGGAGATTAGATTATCAAGCTAAAGCTGAAAACTGCTTAATCTTTGGTAAAGATTATTCATTTTAATTGGGTTACTACACTGGAAAAGTGAGTCTCTGTCTTGTTAAAGCCCCCATAAAAATGTAAAGTATAATTATTTTAAGTCTCATAAATGGGAAACAGTAAATGTGATTTTAATAATAAAAAATACAATAAATTAATAATACAGATCTATTTATAAAATATAAACTGCAAAAATGCCTTTTACACTAAAAAGTGAACTGAGTAGAAATTTAATGTAAAAATTGAAAAAGAAATGCTGTATGTTGTAAAAAATTATTAAAATGTAACTACATATTTTCTATATCTATCTATACTATAAAAAAGTACTTAAAGTACTTAAAATAATACAATCCTTTCTGAGACTGGACTAGCCAGAAAGTTTTATCATTTCATGTATGATCTTACCTGAAAAGAAGTTATCTTTTCTATGAGCATATTATTACAAATTCTCTATAAAATAAACCTCTAACACTTCTTAAGTCTTTGATTGAATGCTTATAATATGTAATGCATAATATGTAATGCATAGGGTGCACCTTGGGTGTGCGTCATTTTTAAAAAAATAATTCAACAGACTGTAGTGAATTATTTCAGTTACACCATGTGTACCACACTGACGCTGAGACACTGTTCAGATTATGCATTTCAAGATATTATTAGGTGTTTATCCGCAAACAGCTCTTGTGTGTAGAGTAAGTTTCTTGCGCGTCTCATCCAAAGCCTTCTTTTTATTGTGTTTTTGATTGTTCTATCCTGTTAAATAACTGAAATCATGCAGAACAGTGACATGGAACTGTGATATATTAGTTTCTAGCTCCGTATATATGCCAATACATTAGTTTTTCTTCAGCTTAGTCCAGTATTTATCAGGGGTGACCCTAGCAGAATGAACCGCCAACTATTCTAGCAAATGTTTTATGCCCTTCCAGCCTCAGTACTAAGAAACACCTATACACTCTCACACAGACACATGCACTACGGACAAGGGGAGAACATGCAAACTCAACACAGAAATGCCAACTGACCCAGCCGGGGCTCGAAGCAGCCATCTTCTAGCTATGAGGCAACAGTGCTCAACATTGAGCCACCCTGCTGCCATGCCTATACATTTTATGTAGAAACAATGCATTTTGCAATTTATGCATAAACACTCATAGTCTAATTTAAGTAGAATGATTATTATCTTTAATCATTCTGTAATTAATTGTCTTTTTAACTAAACTGTGTATACCACAAATATTTGCTCTGTTTAATAATGTCCTGTACAAGGTAGGACAGTAATATATGCGTGACTCACAGTTCCCGGTCGTGGGTATGGGATGCGGCCCTGGAAAGCCACCCACTGGAAGTTGGGCCCTTCCCTGTGTGCAAACGGCCCGTTGAAGACTGTCAGGATGTCGGCCATGTTGTACACACAGACAGCAGAGCCTCTGAACACAGAGCTGAACAGTAAAAACACAAAACAAAGAGCATTAAAGTCCGCCTGCAGTAAAACAATGTATATATTAAGTGTTAGTTTTAATATGCTAGTCTTGAGTCCCATTTAGTCAGCAATTGTTTCTAATGGGGGACATCTGAAAGAGAAAACTCTCAAAAGTTCTTCCATGATTGAACACGCATGCTTTTAGAAGAAGATCCTACAAACACAACTAGATGTCTCACATCTTTCACAGCTCTGTCAAGTAGGAATGCATTAAAGCATGTTCAAGTAAACATTTTGATTTACTTCTTATCTTGAGAGGCATCTTCTACTGATCAATTTTCAAAGGCAGCATAGATCTGTCCTTTGCTGCCTTTGATGTCCCACAATCCTGTGTGTTCTATTACAGTTGAGCTAAAATAATAAGCTTGACATCTGTAAGCACTGCTCGGGTATCACTGCGTGTGTAAATGTAAATTTGTTGACCAATGTTTTCCACTTTTGATGACATTAGAAGTTGATATTGCAGTAAGCAACTATTCCCTCAGGTATCACCGAAGATCTCTCTACTTAGTTTTACCTGATTAAATCCATTTTACAAGGTGTCTTAATGTATAAACGCTACATTCAGAGTTACCGCCTGCAGCGCAGCGAGGCAACAAGTGAGCGCTGACAAGATCACCATGACAACAACCAATTACATTTGACTGTAACAACACAAAAAGGCGGGGTTTTCACAGCTAGTCACTGATAAACGGAATATATGGGAACAAACTTTCCAGCACAGTGTCAGTTTTTAATGGACGAGTTGCCGCAATGTGCAATTGTACAGTGTGTTTCTGTGGCCAAAAAGGATTTACAAAATTGCTTTTGGATTGTTCTCCTTTGGAAACTCAAATATGTGGATCCAGACAGCAATTAAATACAACAATATGTTGTTTGTCAGAAAATTGTAGGAAATTCAGCTTGGGATTTTTACCTGGGTGGTAAGAGAAAAACAAACACATTCTGTATTATAAAATCACCTAACCACTTTAATTGGTAACAATCCCTTACGTCGCCCTGAGAAACAGATACCATCCCAATACAGCTTTTAAATTGCATTAAAGCTGTTGTGTTGCAAAATAAAGACAAAATCCCATTTGGATAAGTTTTCAAAATAAATATTTTTTATGGCATCCCCGCATACTTCATTTTGACTAATCAAACGCTCTTTAGTATCTGTCTAGTATAAGTATATAGTATAACTTTCCATAAACACTTGCATATACTGTAGAAGAAAATAATACACAGTAGTGCCGCAGAGTTGATCTTAACTGATAGTTGATATGAACTAAAGTCTATTGGCTATTTTTTAAAAGAGGGAGTTGCTTTGCCATATGCCACACCCTGTCTTCATGTTTTAATTGAAATTACGTTGCACGTCAAACAAAGATACACATTTCAAGGCATTTCATTAGACCTTTAATATCACACTGAGACCTTTTATATCCCAGAGGGAGTGCAGACAGTAAAAAAATGTCTTTGTGCTTGCTTCCTGAGCGTTTAAAGATTAAAGGGATGATGTAACCTGATTAAACCAGAGATTTTGTCCATGGAGAAAGACAAATCCCACATAAAGGAAAGAAGACACCACTTTAGAATGAAGTGTGGTTTGGTTGAAGGTTGATTTTGGTCAGACAGTAAAACAAAGACCACAAAACAAAGAGAAATATGATAAATAAGCAAACAGGACAAGGACAACAAAATTGGATGCTGTTTGAATTGGCCTCATTAGCCAAACCATGCTCATTCAGTGTGGTCAGAGCATGAACTGCAGTTCAGAAACCTTGACTGAAATTTCATCCGATTCAACAACAGTAAATTCAATGTACTGAAATGACCCATAATGTAGGAATGACCACAAATGAGATCTCAAATGTGAAGGACATTTTCACAGTTTGTCTGATAATATTATTTTCTTCCATAGAAAGTCTTATTTGTTTTTGTTTTGGCTAGAATAAAAGCAGTATTAAATAAAATAAAAAACTTTTTAAGGTCAAAATTATTAGCCTCTTAAGTTATATATTTTTTCTCTCAATAACTTATACAATAACTTGCCTACCTAATCTGCCTAGTAAAAACATTGTTAAGCCTTTAAATGTCACTTTAAGCTGTATAGAAGTGTCTTGAAAAATATCTAGTCAAATAATACTTACTGTCATCATGGCAAAGATAAAATAAATCAGCTATTAGAAATTAATTATTATAATTATTATGTTTAGAAATGTGTTTAAAAAATCTTCTCTCCGTTAAACAGAAATTGGGGAAAAAATAAACAGGGAGGCTAATAATTCAGGGGGTTTAACAATTCTGATTACAACTGCATGAATAACAAAAAATAGAAAATAGAATAAAATTAGATCAATAAATAAAATTAACACATATATTATGTCATACAAATATATATTTAACTCATTTTAAATACTAAACACACACACGCACTAGTAAATGTGATGAAATAAGTATGATGTTTAAAGAATGAAATATTTATAAATTCATTGTTTAAAATAATATTGTATACTACAAAATGTATATATCCTAATGGAACTAAGAGAACAAAAAATATATTATTAAATATAATACATATATTTATGTAATGCACATATATTATATATTTAACTTATTTTAAATATTACACATATAGTTACACACACTGTTTTATATAATGAACTAAGTTTGATGTTTAAGGAATTAGAATCATTGTTTAGATGTTTTCAAAACATAATTTATTATATATTAAATAAATGTTTTTTAAATTAAATGAAACTTTTTATATTAACATCTATAGTTCTGCCTTGTAAATTTGTCGACCATTTTCTCACTTATTAGTCTATTGTCTTTGCATAATAAGTCATAGCTAAGAAGAACTTTCAAGTAGCATGTTTCTGAGACTTTACACTCGCTCATTTACACAAAACAGCAACAGAACCAACATCTGAACTGACTCAGTAACATCACACCGCATCTAACACTGCATGACACACTAATTTAAATATTTTTTCTCCCTCAAGATGTTAATTTCATCCCAGTGAAAGTCCATTGGATAACCTCCTGAGCAAACAGGAGACGTATGTTTGTAAAGAAGTGACCTTTCCCTCTCTTTACCACCCTCAGGTGTGATCACACATTCCCAGAAACCCCGCCTGACCTATATTTGGCAAATACACACACACACACACCAAAACATGTGCACGCATATATATATACAAATTAGCAGCAAGCTCAATATTGCTTTTGGCTGTACCTTGTGGAGGTGAAGACTCCAAAGATGAGGAGGCCCTTTGGGTGGTCCGTCTCCAATAAAAACACATTTTCTGCATGCAAAAAAGACAAGCATCCAATTTAACGCTGAACATCTGTCCCACAACAATGTTATACACAGTTCTGGTGCTGCCTAACAGGAATATAACAGGTGAAAGAGTGTAAATCCATCATAGGCTTTAACCTTCCCGTGTAAACGGTTTGTGCTGAGTGTTTTATGATCGTAAAAGGATTTTAATGAGGTGAAAAGCTTTACAAATGACCTCTAGAGCTGTTGTTGAAGGAGGATAATGATAAATGTCAAAACAACCGTTTTATGGTTAATGACCTGTAATTATAGGAAGCTGTTTAACTATTATGTGGAAATTGATAAAAGGCTTTGGACGATTGGTTTGGGATAAAAAATGGGTTAAGAGTGTAATTAGGGTGCAATAGGGTTAAAGACTGCTATTACGAAAAAATATGTTTCTTTTCATGTCCCAAAATGAATGGTAATCAATGAAATATGTATTTTATTGAATATTAATTGAGAAACAATATGGAGAAGTTAGTTTTTCATTCAAATATAACTAAAGACGATTTTTCTGGTCTGGAAGTGAACCTGGAAGTTTCTGAGATATTTTATTTAGTTTGTTGATGAACTTCCAACTAAAATGAATTATTGAGTTGGGTTGGGGCTTTTTTGTGCTTCATTCTCTCATAGCAAACTAATAGTAAGAATATTGTTGCTGAGGCTGTCAAGCTTACGTCAACAGTGAAGGACAGATACAAAAACAACAACAACAACAACTAAAATTCAGTGAATTAACTTGCACGGATTAAATGTTCATCCAAATAACAATATTCAAACAACAGTAATTCATACAACAATATTTAGTAATATAATTCAACAATATTCAGTAAAATAATCCAATATTATGGAAGTACCTTTGATTAAACTATAAACTGGGTGCAGTTAAGTGACTTTGTTCTTCTCGATCAAATGAAAACTTGCCAACTTGTGAACAAACTGACAAAAAAGCATTTTAATACCAAGTGTAAATGGGCTCATAGAGTGTATGTGTGTGCGTGCATGGGTGTGTGTATTTATAGTCTCACCAAGCTCATCAAAGTGTGTCTCAGTCCCGTCCTCCTCTAGAACTGAACACACCATTCGAGCCTTAAGAAATGTGGTCCACTTGTTCACCAGACTACGTTGACCACCAGTGTCATTCTAAAAACAATTTACAATCACTTGAAATAGTTTTAAGTACATCAACACATTTATTTATTACACTGTGATTAATGATCATATGAATCTTTACAAATATTATGCAGACATGTAATGTTCTGAACATTGACCTTCCAGAATATAACTGCAACCTGCAAACTGTAACAATTAGGGCTATTTCATTGTTTTTACAAGTTGTCATCATTTTAAACACGCAGGGGTAAAAGAGCAAAAAGAAGCATGGATTACCTGTAGCTATGCTTCCATCCACATATTTTTATCTCGGAAAAAAAAAGCTGAATTGAAATGCTAAGATTTGAGAATGTGCATAAAAAAACGTGCTCACAACTGAGTGAAATTAAGTATCATACAAAAAATGTGGAAAAATAGAAATACAATTTTGTTAATAAGTAGATCATGTGATAATAAAAATAGGTGTGATGGGATGGCATTAATGGACAAACCAGTGGACCGACCACATTGCACAACATCAGAAATGTTATTTTGATCGTGTTAAAATCTCTTAGCCAAAGTCTGTCATCAAACTTGTGCAGTAATATTACCAACAGAACGGTCATGAGTGGCTCCAAAAGCCATTGTGCTTTCATTGTGTTTTGTCTTCTGAGGCGCAAGTAATTCATTATATAAGGAAAAAAGGCTCACAGTGGCTTTTTCTACGGCAGCAAATCCATTTTTCATTTTGATGTTTGGTGCCAGTTTATGGGGAAGTGACAATACTGCTTTCTTTGACTCGTTGGATGGAAATGATGCTTTATTTGTAAATGTTTTATGCAATATTCAAATTTCACAAGTACTGTAAGTCTTATTTGCATCTTTGGATGAGCACAAAGCATATGTTTAACATCTGCAGTGTGAGATGTAGGTGTTAGAATCTCTGAGCATTAGCCGACAGGCTTAAACAAAATCAACACTTGTTTTAAGGACTTATCAATAAAAACATGTTCAGTCTGAAAGTGCTAAATGTAAATCAAGATAATCCAGGATTTATTAAACTTAGACTGATGCTTTACCATGTCAAATGGGAAAATAAATGATAAACCCAATCAACAACACACACAGAGACTTACAGGGCACACTCGAGCCACCATGGCATGAATGTTTTTCGTGTTTCCACTGGTGTCTGTGAGTCGCTCCCGCAGGAAAAAGTACAGTTTAGCATCGTTGGGGTCTGATCCATCAGGGATCAATTGGGCGTCAATGAACAGTGGCTCTGGTCAAAACAGAAGAAAACTCCAGCTTAAACACTCAATTTGCTTTACATAAACCACAAGAAAAATAAAAAGAGCATACTGTATCTTTTCTTTCCTAAAAAATCAAACATCTCTGCGTGGTGCTAATGTCTGCGTTTATGGAAATGCAGCTCCTGGCGTTAAGAAAATCTATCTCACACATCCTGACAAAATATGCATTTTATTGTGTATTTGGATAGTATCACACAAAAGAAAACCTGACTCTTTGAGAAAACCATCATGCATGTGGAATATGTTTTCATTTTCCCGGCAAATGTATTGTAAGCGAATATTGAGTCTATCCTTCCCTCAGACATTTCCTTTGACGTGGGCAAAAATACTGTGTGGTTTGTGTATTATTTTACTTAAATGGCTCGGAACGTGAACATGTCATTTAACGCTACACATGAATAATTATTTGTAGTTTCAAGTGGAATGTTATGAGCAGTTTTCGGACAGAACAGTGTTCATAAATGCATAAAACAGCATGTATGGTTTGTACCGCTCAGCCATTTGGAGTTATGTTGGTCCGTCCGCACAGGGTTTCTTGTGGTCAGGCTTCTGAAGATAGCCGCGTCTGTCCCCATGAAGTCAATGTACATGCCAGAAAACAACTCCTGATCTGACCACAGACACAAACAGAAACTTGTCTCAGTCACTTTATACAAATTTTGCAAGGTCAGTGAAAATTGTTTTGCTTAAAGCTTGTGTAAACTTGGCAGTTTATTTAACAGGGACGTCAGTTGATTAAATTGATTTAATTAATGTAATTAAAGTGAGGTATTTAGCTTTAAGCATGTGATTATAATTATTATTCCATACTTTTAAGTAGTTTGACAAAAAATAAGACAATGATGCATTTAATCCTTTTTTGTTTTGTGTTCACAATGACTTTGTCTAAACTCAATAACACAAACCCATACATTTAATTGCAACAGTTTTTATTAAACCCACCAAGTTTGAACACAATCTTATTTTTTTTTCGGTTTTGTTCTTTCAGTTTTAATTGATATACTTCCTCTTAAAGTTTTCTTAAAATAAAATAGTTTGACTTCCTAAGCACAAGAGAAGACATTTTGAATGCTGGAAACCAAACTATTTTAGTTACTGTACCACTGACTTCTGATCTGTAGACATTTATGAGATTTTCTTTAATGTTGTGCAAAAAAAAAAGAGGTTTGGCAGTAATGGCAGCAATAATTTTCTGAACATTTTCATTTACATATATTGCTATGTAAAACAAAAACAAGATATGGTAATACTTACATTTATGTGGATAATTTATGTGGATAAAACACAAAAACCCTGCAGTTAAACTTTTCCTGCACTTAATGGATGTAGTGTTTGATGTAAAAATAATTTTTTTCTTATTCATTTTATAAATGCAGTTTGCATTGTTGTTATTTACTTCAATCTTGGTGGTGGTGGTTTGTTTAAAGATCATTAAAGATTACATTTTATGATTAAAAAAAAGTGCAAATGTATTCTATTATGCTAAATATTGTGTTTAAAATGAATAAAGACCCCTTAGAATAAAAGAAATCCCCTCTTAATTGAATCACCTTTTAATCACTCTCTTCAACACATTAAGTTTGACTGCCCTATTTAAAAACAAAAAACAAAAAAAAACAAACATTTTTTTTTTAAACCCACTAAATCTAATTTAAAACAAAAACTGTGGTTTCTGCTTCTGGCTGTGCAGATTTGTTAGTTAAATGTTAGACATTTTGGATTTATTGTGCCTGGACATTTCTCTGCGGTTTGCTCTACAAATGACCTTCTTAAATCTCCATTCTCTAAAGCTCTCCTTCCTTTCATCAATACACCACTTCACCACTTCATCACTCCATCTTACTGGGGGCCTGTGGTTTGACAGGTACGGCTAAGGGCCAAGTTTATGATGGAAATCTGTAGATGGACGTCAGACAGAGTACACTGCAGGCTGTCATGTTAAGGACCGTCAGTCTTTGATGCTGTCTAGACGTTTAGGAACTCTTACTAAATGGAATGACCACTTAAACTTTTCTTTTAGACAGTCTCAAATAGCTGTTGTAACCCAGTGTTTGGCCAAATATGGACAAACCTAACCAGTGGGTTAAAAAGTGCAATTGAATTTGAATTTAATAAATTCTATAGCCATTTGAGATCATTTTCGAGGGGGTCCCTAAGAAGTACATAAATCTAACAGAGTACAGCATATCATAACAAACATACAGCATAATAAACAAAACAAAGCAGAAACAGGTCACCTGAAACACTTCCCACAGTTTAAAGCCTGAGCAAACTAAAACAAATAATCAAAAGGATATCCAAATAAATAATAAGCATTTAAATTGAAACCAATATTAATTACATTTACAAGTTGTTTCCAAAAAAAGAAGATACATAAGTCCTGGAAAGACTAAATATTTTAATTGATCTAAGAAGGAAGATTGTTCCAGTAGATTATTCCAGGAGCTTTGTATTTAAAATGTTTTTCGATCACTTTCTGTTGTAATTTTAAGAACAAAGATGTAGTTCTGTTGCATATGTCGAAGAGAATATGAAGAGGTAAATGGAACAAAAAGCTGCTTTAAATAAGAAGGGAAACAAAAAAAAAAAAACACACATTTAAAAAGAAACACATTTACACAACACAATTAAAATTTGATCGAAAAAATTAATGTAACATTGGGTTTGTCCATATGTGATAACCCAACATTTTTAAAGTACCTGTTTAGTGTTATGTTTAGTGTTGCAGGAATAAACCATGTGAACTAGAACCATAAAAAATAAAATAAACATCAGCTGAAATAAGCTCAAGGCAGTATTTGTCATTTATTTAACTCAATGTACTAAACTAAACTAAAATTAAAATAATAATTCATGAAAAACTGCAGTTGCAAAGATATGTTCAAAGGTCATTGAAAGTTCAAAGGTCATTGAATTTTATTACAATTGTAGGTTTATGTCTCACAATTCACTCAATTTTCAGAATCAAAGCATTGAGCAATTCTTAAACTTTTATCAAAATAGTGAATTCTTGGAATTACATTTACATTGTGCAATTGTCAACTGTAAGAGTCAAAGTTAAAAATTACAAATTAAATTACAAAAATTAAAACAATGCTATTTTTTAAACTGAATCTTACACGGTTTACTTAAACAAAAATCCGAAATTTTATTCACAAGCTAAGTTTGACCATTTGAGTAACTTTAATTTATTTTTTGTATTTAATACTGTCAGGAGCAATTGACTCTTTTAATCAGTGTTTGTAATTACCTTAGGTGTATGTTGAAGTGTCATTTAAATTTTATAATTGGATGTTTACAGAGCTCTTAGATGCCTAACTTTTACATTTTAATTGGGCTTTATAATTAAAAATGAACTCAAACATATAATAGTATTTCAGTGGTGCTAAAATGGCACCAGAGTGTTTATGTTGCTGTTTCTAATGGCTCTGGTGTGTGAAAGCATGGATGTGCATGTAATGTAGCCTAATAGCTGTGTCAACAGCAACCCAACACCAACTAGCCAATTACAGATCAAAGGATTAAAGGGGCGCCACAGAGGACCCAAAGTTGTCACATCAGAAAGGGGGTGCAGACAACCGCAAAATGAGGGTGTTTGGTGACACTGTGGGGTCATGAACAAAGAGATCCTGGAGAAAATGTGTTATAGAAAGTGTTGAAGACAAATTGGCACCTGTGGATAAAGACATAAAAGACTCACTGAGCATGACCGAGACAGTGTTGACTTGTGGGTTGAAGGAGCAGCGCCCTTTCCCTGATTCTGCTCGCGAAGAGATCTGGAACACTTGCTCCTGCCAAGAACACCAAAAATAACAAAATCTCACATTTCGTAAACACTGTCTATTATTGTGGTTAGAGGTCTTTGATATTGGCAGTAAATGGTATCTCAATATTTTGGAGGATTTTTTCCCCCCCGATAAAGATAAATAATATGTTTTCTGTTATTTAGTAGAGTAGAGAACAGTGAACAACCTACATTTGTTTCCAATTTCGAGGATATTGCTTAGTCCAATTTTAAGTTATCCTGATACTTATGAAAGTTAATGGACACCTTGAGAAACCCCTCAGTTGTTGGTGTTAATCTGCATCTAGTGGTAATCTCCTTCAGAATCTGACAAACCTATTTAACTGGCAGACTAAGGCCCCATTTGAAAATGTACATCATGTGACCATACACACACTTTGGGCATGCCTGTTTAGGTAAAAACAGGAAGCATTTAGCTACTGCACGATGGCCGTTAAAATAGACAACAATTTAAGCAGGCTTCCATTTTTGTGACATGTTGTTTACAGGTGGTCAGGACTGGTCTGTTGTCTTCCAGTAGCAATATGGTCATGCGATAGAAGCTTGCTGAATAAGAAAAAAGAGACCCAAAAGAGCCAACCAGCAGTGGTGGAAAGAGTACTGAAAAATCATACTCAAGGAAAAGTACCATTATTACCCAAAAATGTAGTTCAAGTAGAGTAAAAGTATCTGTTGTAAATATTACTCAGAGTATGAGTAAAAAGTAGCCCTTTTAAAAGTACTCAAGAGTAGTGAGTATTGTGCTGTGAAAGGGTGATGCGTCAATATGTGCATGCACGTGTGTGTGAACATAACATTCTGTTGTAAATTTAGTGATTGCTTAAGCTCATTTGGTGATTACAGTCATCATACAGTAGACATCCACCATCTACTCATTAGTGACATGCAGTCTTAACAGTCTCTTAGTCATTGTGTGTAACGATTTTATCATGAGATTGTTTAGTATATTGTGATTTTCATTGTGCAATTCGATTGGATGGCAATCACAAAACTGATTATTCTACTTCTAGTACTCTACTTCTTTACTAGCCAATCACCATAGACAAAATAATAATAATAATAAAGTAGTACCTACAGTTTAAAGGAAAATAGTGGAGTAAAAGTACAGATACAGCACTAAAAATGTACTCAAGTGAAAGTTAAAATACACATTTTAAGAAATACTTAGTAAATGACAATTCCTGAGGAAAAACTACTTAATTATAGTAAGCTGAGTATTTGTTATTTGTTACTTCTCACCTCTGCCCACCAGTGAGTTGATGTCAGCATGGGGGTTCTTCCTATTATTGGTCATGTCGTACTGTGGTTCATTGCTTCCAAAAAGTGGAATCAAACAGCTACATGATGGGCATCATTTTGGGATTTGTCCGCACTGTAATCCATTATTCGAAAAGTACATTTTTAGGTCGAAAGGTACAAATGATCATAAACTTTTGCAGATGGGCCGAAATCATTTGTTGTATGGACAAGGCCTAACTTTCAGGCCAAAGGAATGACCTTTTCATCTATACCCAAAGTTGGTCATTCCAAATTGGTGATGACTAAAATATTGCATCTTTACACTGCTACTCAATTCAATTCAATTCAATTTCCCTTTTATTTGTTTAGCGCATTTACAATGAAAATTTTGTCAAAGCAGTTTCACATAGAAGATCATAGTAAATTGAAACAGTTCCAGTCCAGTTTTAAGTTTAAATTCAGTTCAGTTTAGCTCAGTTTAGTGTGCTTTAATAATCACTACTAAGAGTCCAAACACTGAAGAGCAAATCCATCGATGCACAGCTCTACAGATCCTGAACCAAGCAAGCCAGTGCCGACAGCAGCGAGGAAAAAACTTCAATTGGCAAAAGTGTAGAATTACAAAACCTCGAGAGAAACCAGGCTCAGTAGGGCTTGACCATTTCTCCTACGGTCCTAATGTTACTCTTTACATTCAAGCTCCTCAAGACAGCTAGTCGTCCACTAAACTCAAATGCACAAATCTACTCTAACCTGAAGCAGGAATATTATAAAAGTGACTCATGTAAACACCTTAATTGTTATATTGTCTAATTCCAAATAGGGTAAATAATTAGATTACTGATGTCCATGTACTTTGTGTACTTGTGCTCAATGTTTATTTCAAACATTCTCTTTTTGTGTGAGTGATTATTTCCCAAAGTTAGCTGCAAAATTGACTAGACTTTAGGCTGAAACTAGTCAAAGTTTTTATAACTATAAATGATTCCAAATATGCTATAGTTGTATCCCATTTCCCACTGTCAAATCTATTTCCAAAAATCAGATGGATCAGATATGTGCAACAGCCAATATAGATAGAAATAGTTTTAACCAATTTCCTAGCACACATTAGTTTTGGGGATCTGCCTGTCTTCCAATTTGTTGAACTAGAGGCTTTCAGGTTTCTAACTGCCAGTCCTCTCCTTTATTGACCAGTCATGTGACAAGAGAGAAACCAGAGACGTAGAGGGAGCCTCTGACAGGACATACAGCTGCTAATTTATCACAGACACACGTGTGTTCATTAACTAATGTACAAGCTCTTTACATCACACGCAACAACAAGCAGCAATGTGGGTCACATGGTGACTCCAGGGTGGCCCCATCATTGTTATGTCACAAAGCTCCACTGCACACTTTCAGAGGGCACAGGTCACTCCATTGCGTTAAGTTTTTTTTTTTTTTTGCTGTAATAGTCCAGCTGGTGTACAGCCAAGAGAGATGAACATGGACGGAGGGTTGAGAGAGTAAAATGCTTTTCAAACAAAAAAGAATGATAGAAAACAAGCTGCAGGCAAGCAGAACTGCTTTTAATATCATCTGGTCTGGCCTTGTCTCTTCTCTTTTTTTCTCTTGTATTTTTTTAAACTCTTGCCATATCTTGTAATCGTGTTCTTTTTTTACATATTCTCATTTAATCTATTGGCGTCTCTCTATTTAACTAAGGATTTTTTGTCTCTTATCAGCTAATCTGGTCTTTATTTCTTCCACTGCTTTATAATTAAGGAATCTTGTTATCGCTCACCTGGTGTCATCATTGTTATTGTCTCTTGTATATATTATCTTACCTGGTGTCATTTTTTAATCCTTTAATCATTATTGATGTATTACAATATTGTCTTCTATTTTTGTTGTTACTTTTTTTTTTACATTTTGTAATGTGTCTCTTAAATAATCTTTAATATTGTATGTGTTTACGTCATGTTGTGATGTGACATCCTCTCATCTCATCTGGTTCTCGTTTAGTTCTGTTCCTTATTTTCTCACCTAATCTCATCTCTTTTTTCCTCATCCCTGATCTGTTTGCCTTGTTATAATGACTTCTTGTGTTATTTTGTTTCAATTCAGCTTGATTTGTATCTTGCCTCATCTTTGTCAGCTCTCATCTGTTTTAGTCTCCTCTCTACATTTAGTTTTGCCTCATTTTATAATGGGTTATCTTTAATCTTTCATATTGTTAGTATTCACGTCTCATGTCTTGTCTTGCCTTGTCTCGTCTCGTCTCATGTCATTTCATTTTGTTTTATTTGTTCATCTAATTTTTGCTTGTCATTTCTTTTCTCATCTCATTTTGTTTAATTTCTCATAGTCCCAGCTAACCTAATCTGGTTTCATTTCATACTTTATTTTTTTATCTTTAAATAATTCTCATTTGTAATATGTTCTCATATCATGCCATGGCCTGTCATCTCTCCCACCAAGTTATTTTATCTTTTCCCGTCTCGTTTCATCTTATCTATCCTGGTTTCATTCATCTCGTTTAGTCTCATGTCATCTAGTTTTCTATCATATCATCTAATCTCATATCATCTAGTATTGTCTCATCTAATCTTGTCTAGTCTCATTTCATCTGCTCTCATCTAGTCTTATCTCACCTCATTCAATCTAGTCTCATTTCGAATAATCTCATCTAGTCTCATCTCACCTCATCCAATCTAGTGTCATCTTGAATCATCTCATATAGTCTGATCTCGAACCAGTCTCATCCAATCTCATCTCCTCTACTCTCATCTCGAATTAGTCTCATCCAATCTCATCTAGTCTTGTTTCGAAGCAGGCTCATCCGATCTCATATTATCTCATATAATCTCATCTAGTCTTGTCTTATCTCTTTCATGTAAAGTAGTCTCATCTCATTTAGTTTCATCTAATTTACTCTTATTTAGTCTCATTTTGAAGCAGTGTCATCCAATTTCATGTAATCTCATACCATCTCATCTCATCTCATCTAGTCTTGTCTTGTCTAATTTAATCTCTTTTATGTATAGTAGCCTTGTCCTGTCTTGTCTCATCTCATTTAGTCTTATCTTGTCTCATCTCATGTAGTGTCATCTAGTCTCATCTCATCTTGTCTCACCTCATCCAATTCAATTTCACCTCATCCAATCTAGTGTCATCTTGAATCAACTTATCTAGTCTCATGTCATATCAGTCTCATCCAATCTCATCTCATCTAGTCTCGTCTTCTTATCTCATCTCCTCCATGTACTGTAGTCTTGTCTTGCTTTATCTCATTTAGTCTCATCTTGTCTCATTTCATGTAGTGTCATCTAGTCTCATCTCATCTAGCCTAATTTTACCTCATCCAATCTACTGTCATCTTAAATCATCTCATCTTGTTTCACCTCAAATCAATCTCATCTAATCTCATCTTATATCTTTTCATTTAGTCTCACCTCAAATCAGTCTCATCCAATCTCATCTGATGTCTAGTGTCATCTTGAATCATCTCATCTAGTTTCATCTGGAATCAGTCTCATTTAATCTCATCTCATCTAGTTTTAACTAGTCATATCTTGAATCAGTCTCATCCAATCTCATCTAATGTTGTATCATCTCACCTTGTCTCATTCAGTCTCATCTTCTCTCTTCCATGTACAGTAGTCTTGTCTAGTCATCTCATCTTGACTTACTCATCTCTGTCTTTTCATATCTTGTTTTGCCTCTTCTTGCCTTGTTGTGCCTTTCAACATTTAATTCCATTTGCATTGAATTTTGTCTCATCTGTTTTTTCTCTGCTAGTCTTTCCACTTCTTTCTGTTAATTTTTCATTTCACCTTCTCTCTTATTCTTTTGTTTTACCATCTGATCTTTTTTACATCATCACAATTCATCCTATTCACTATCCTCTCATTTGTAATCTCTTGCCTTTTCTCATTTGGTTTCATGCCATCTGGTCATTTTTTTCCTTTAACCAATAACATCTCTTATGACCATGCCGGTCTAAATTGTCATGAACTTTTCAAAGGATGTATAAAATGAACTTTATGGCTCATCAGCGCATTACAGAAACTCAACTTAAGGAAGAGCAACCTACAGTCCATTTCTCAATCCTAAAGTTTTGAACAGCAGACGTAGTAAAATCATGGTGAAACTGAAATCAATCCAACTGTTTTTCATTAGCGAGTGTAAACTGACCTCAGGACGTCTGCCACGGTTAACATATGCACACACTGGGCTGTAGGCTCCACTGCCGCAGATGAACAGATGAGTCCTGTTATAAGGCTGGATCACTCTTAAGAAATTCCCACATCCATGCTGAGGAGAACAAAAGAGACAGAGATCATTGATTTTTAGTTAAAAGTTACACCGAACTTATTTTGACTATCTCTGTGTGTTAATTTTGTATTTTTTTTCATAAATGTTCAAATGCCTTGTAAGAACCCCCAGTAACACTCTTGTAATGATGTCTATCAGTTAAATATATAATGGAAAACCCAATGAAAGATTTACATGATTAAAAAAATACTGCTTTTTATACTAAATAGGTACATAATTTGGTGAAGCAGTGGCACAGTAGGTAGTGCTGTCGCCTCACAGCAAAAAAGTCGCTGGGTCGCTGGTTCGAGCCTCGGCTTAGTTGGCATTTCTGTGTGGAGTTTGCATGTTCTCCCTGCGTTCGCATGGGTTTCCTCCGGGTGCTCCGATTTCCCCCACAGTCCAAAGACATGCAGTACAGGTGAATTGGGTAGGCTAAATTGTCCATAGAGTATGAGTGTGTGTGGATGTTTCCCAGAGATGGGTTGCAGCTGGAAAACTTGCTGGATAAGTTGGCAGTTCATTCCGCTTTGGCGACTTTGAATTAATAAAGGAACTAAGCCGACAAGAAAATGAATGAATGAATGAATGAATGAATGAATGAATGAATGAATGAATAAATGAATGAATGGAAGTACATAATTTATACTATAGCTGACCCATTATTTTAGGTGTGCAGTGCGTTCTGTGTCAATAACATCAGACGATTTTTCTCAGTAAGCTATTTTTATCACAACGCAACTCAGAAAATGCCACACTTGTGCTTCTTTTAGTTTTCATTTTCAGTCAAAGCGATATACTTATTGACCTCTTTTCTAGTGATAAGAATAAGCTTTTAGTAGACCTTAGTTACTGATAGAGCTTACAGTGATACATTAAGCACAGGATTGCATCAAGCATCCATTTTTCAGCATGGAATTTTGCAGGGGCTGTAAAGAATCATTTTGGGTGGTCTACTGAAAATTAAAACCAAGAAATGCACAATGTGTCATCCTATATCAATCTTTACTTCTTCCCAAGTTGTGTTTGGATATAAATAGTAAAAGGTATCACCATTTAACAACCATTTAACATCATCAACACAGAATGTATTGTGCACCTAAATAATGACGCACCACATATAGTACAAACTGAATGTGCACTTCACATCTGGTGTGTGAGATGATTCTCATTTATCCACTGGAAAAGTGAGATGGTGGCTCAGTAGTTAGCACTGTGACTTCACAGAAAGAAGGTTGCTGGTTTGAGTCCCAGCTGGGCCAGTTGGCGCTTCTTCGTGAATTGGCGTGGTTTTCCTCTGGGTGGTCTGGTTTCCCCCACTGTCTAAACACATGCACTATACAGTAGGTGACCTCTGATAAATAAGGGACTAATCCGGAGGAAAATTAATGAATAAATTATTAGCTAGAACTGGACTGGACTGTAAAATGGAGTCACTGAGAGCCTGATTTATTTAGCATGATGGTCCATAATATCATACTGAATACTATGATAGAACAAGCCCATGTTACATTGCACTGCCCTTTAATTCAGTTCAATTCAAAAAGACCATAGGTTGACCCATTCATTATTATAGTGTGTTTGTGAGCTTAGTGACCAATACAGTGGATGCTCAGATACGACTTGCATACATTCTTAATTAACACAAATAGAGTTAGAGTTTTTAATCAGTAATACCATTACCTGTATTCTTAATAAAAATATTGAGCGGTAAGACAATTTATCATTTGCTCAAACGATTGTAATTTATAAATAATTTTGGACTTATAACATTTCTTTATGGAGGCTCAAGTATAGAGTGGGTATCAATTAACAGAAACATAAATCTTATTGTGGTTGCTGCATTCGCTCAACGTGCACTTCTGCTAAAAAAGCAGGTTTCTTGAATGACTGTCAGCATTACAAATGTGTGGAAAATGTGTCAGAAATGAACATTTCCTCACCATTTTCTCACACTCGAGTGGTTTTAAACTTCTGTTGAACACAAAACAAGATATTCTGAAGAATATTGGAAAATAGCAACCACTGGCATCCATAGTAGGAACAAAAATACTTTGAGAGTAAATGGTTGTTTCTTCCTCTCAACATTCTTCAGTATATTATTTGTGTCCAACAGAAGAAAGAAAGGAGGACAATGAGTAAGTCATGACAGATTTTTTCTTTATGCATGAACTGTCCCTTTAACCATTATCCAGTTGTGATCAGATTGATTATCACATCTTAATACCAGCAATAGATGAGCCCTAAGATCCCATTAAGTTCTATTAGCAAGCTGAAATGTTTGCTTAATCCATTTTGAGAGATGCCAATGCCAATTAAAATGAAGCTGACTTTAATATATCAATCCGAACCTATAATTTAGGAAGTTTATGTAGGTCAAGAATTCAAGGCCTGTCTTAAGACTGAAACCCAAACTAAAATGACGCCAAATCAAATGCACATGATCCAGCCCCCTCCCCAAAAAAAAGCGAGAGGGATGAGCAGGGAAAGAAAAGCAGTGCCAGGGGAGCAGTTAGAAACTTGGCGAAGTGTGTGAAAACAGCAGCTGCTTGAGCTCTCGGTTAGCATGAGCACACACAGACCCTTCAAAAGTAACTGCAGTAAAATCACAGCACACACCCCACCGTCAACTCCGCCCATTTTTTATGTGTTTGCCAATAATATAACTTTTTTATTCTGTGTCACATATCAACATTATCCTCTTTTGGCTTGTATTTGCTGGTAGATTCATGGTACGTATCTTTTCTTACACAAAAGTGATTAGGCGTTTTGACAGCTTACAGTTCACATCCAGATCAGGCTGAATTAACAAGAAGGAGCTCTATAAACATGTTTTAATATCATTTACAGCTCGGCCCAAGAAACACCTCAGTGTTTCCCTCACGGTGCAGATGGTTTCGGATGATGTGAAGTCACGCGCGGGTGACACTGTCAAGGGTAGATCCCTAACAACATGATAAGGGACAATGCTACAGGTCCATAGATACAAATAAAACATCAGGGGAAATCAGTGAAGCAAACCTCAGTTTAAATACAGGCATGCACAGACCCTCACAAGGGCTGTAACATAAATATTCGTGAGAAGTAGCGCAGGAAGACTGCATATATCACTGTGTGACATGTTGCTTTTTTCCCACTGGTAAAGTTATTATCCATTGTATTCCAAGTATTTTGGGCTGGATGAATTTTTATGAATACTTTTAAGGGATATTTGAGTGGCAACATTTCAGAAAATGAGGTGTTTAATAATGAAAGGGAGATAATAAGATTTATTAAGCTTTTTAATATTTTATTATATGACAAACTTAGCACATTTTCTCCCTGTTTTCATTATCAGCTGTCACATAAGAAATCACAATATATTAAAGCTGCTAGAAAATTATTTTATTTACATATTTGGCAACACAGACTCGTTCAAGATACAGTACATACTTCAGCCTACATTTTTGTGAAAATATAAATGTACTTAAACATACATTTGACTGCAGTTTGTAGGTAAAATTAAAGATAACAGACGGTATAATGACAGCTTTTGTTCTTTTTTTATACTAATGACATTAACAGGGACACAACATTGACAAATGAAGGATTATTTTCATGCAATTATTTGCACAACATCTAATAAGTACCACAAAACAACTTAATGATGTCTGTGATTTTTAATATACTAAGTTTCTAATGTCAAAATACGTTTGAATAAGTTTGAAATGGGTAGCGAAACATACAAAAGTAATGTATTTCAGATTAGCAAAAATGTAGACCGTGCCCTCTAGTGGATTATTCACCGGAAACATGCAACTAAATCTATCCAGAGCAATGTATTTTCTATTTTGCAAAAACGTAGGCTAAGGCATGTATTTACAATTAGCCTACGCTGATAATTAGATTATTTTTTTAGATACTTTTAATTCTGTAGATAATTGTTTGTTTGAATAAACGAAACAGATTACTATTTGTAATTGAGAAAGTAGATTATATAAAAATAAATAAAATAAATAATAGTAATACTACAACAGTAAAATAAATAAACAATATTATAATAAATACTACAGCATGAGACTGCTGAAAAGCTATTAAAAATTAAAAATGTTATTACAATTGTTATTTTGATTAACTTTTTTAATGTATTGATTTGTGTGAAAATAGATCCTTTTATTTATTTTGCATACACATTTAACATATTCTTAAAGATTTGTATTTATGACAATTATTTATATTAATAGATAACTGTAGTTTGTTGGGCTGCTTTTAATTGTAATTTTTTTATGTATTTAAGCAAGTGTGTCTGGGACAAATTTTTTAGTTTGAGCTTTAAATTTTAAATAAAAATACATCAAATCTTATAAAATGCTTAAATAGAACTAAAACTAACATAATTTATATTAATAATTAATTATTTGTACCGCCTAAAATTATGTAGCTTCTACATGATAAAATTGTTGGTGTTTTTAAGCTAAAATCAAAAGATGTTAATATCTTGAATAATTATTTGTCAGATTTAAATGCAATTAAAATATTATTTACAATAATTAGATTTGAATACCAGTGCATTTTTGAATCCGTATTTTTCATTCTTAAATGAACTACTGTATATGTATGGTTCTACAATACAATATTTGTCTTTGTCCAGCTAGAAAAAACCCAGGTCCATTTTCACATCATAATTTATTCTAACACACAATTTTGATGACAGGGAAGGTGTGACAACCCACTGCGCATCTAGAGACACAACCATCTGTTTCTTATCCAGCCTTGACTGGCAGAAAATGGAAAAAATAAAACTTTATTTTCAAACAACATGCATCTGTTCCTGATACAGACATAACAGTTTGAATCTGAGAAGTAAACAGTGATTTAATGTTTGGTGCTTTTATGATTGATTTGGGACAAGTGTAATTAATTGCTGTGATTGTAGGGAGAATAATGCTTGTGAAAACAGCTCACTGAGCGATCAATTCTCCAAGCGACAGACAAACAGCAGACAAATAGGAATCGGATCAAGAATGCTGCTGCTTTCATTGTGAATCAAAGGCATAAAAGAGTTGGCCAACCATTGCATGCAGGGAGTTTAAAAGGGGCAATGTTCTTACTGTCGGGTCTTTGCCAGCCATCTGACACTCCTCGACCTTACTGATGGACGCCGGCCAGAAGATCTGATGGAAAAAATAAAATAAGAGGAGAGCAATGAGAAACATGAGAACATTGGATGTAGCTAGCAAAGTGCGTAGTTTAAATTTGTAGTGACAGATTTACGATACTTTGTGTCTGTCCACCAGCTGGCGAGTTCATTTGTGTGTTTGTGAAATTATCTAAATTATGTATTATATTTAATTTGTATAAACAATTTTGACATCACATATGTCGTGATAGGGTCATTATGATATTTGTTGAAAGAAGTTTGTGCTTCTATTCAACAAGTATGTATTAAAGGAAAAAAAGTGGAAAAACGGTTTTATGTTATAGTTTTTAAGAGTTCTATTGTAAATAATTGCCTTCATAGCGATGAATAAATCTCTTCTGCACTTCATATTAAACTTTAAATAAAAAAAGCAGCCTTTTCATTAGAGGAATAAATAAAATATTAAAATATCTGAAATTTAAAATAGCACAAATTATGGTTAGTATTTTATCTTTTCAAACTTTCAGACAATTTTATAGATTTACATTTATGTTTTACTCTCTGCGCATGAAAAATAGATGTTCTCATATGATAAAGTTTTTATGCGATAAGAAAAGATGTGCATAAACTACAATGGAAACACTTTTACTGAACAAATTCCAGTATGCGCATAAAAATTTATGTGATTTTGTTATAAAAGATAATGTGAGGATAAAAATGTGTGTGAATGGACAAACCAGCAGGAAGACCGTTGATTGTTGAACATCTAAAGAGTTGTTTTGTTCAGTCTAAAACGACTTCTGAGGCGCAAGTAATTTATTAAATGAAGAAAAGACTCACGCAGCTTCTCCTACCGCAGCAAATTCAGTTTTTACTTTATTCGGTGCCAGTTCATCAGGAAGTGCCAACTTTTTTTCTTTTTGACTACTTGGATGTAAAAAGTTCTTTATTCGCATGTCTTTTATACGATACTTATTTTTGCACATAAATTTAATTTGCATCTTTGGATGGAAGCATATCTACTGACACTATATTTATTTATTTACTTATTTAAATACCATATGTTTAAGTTATTATTCTAAATTCACATTTGAAAATAAAATATTTATTTTGAAAAGCTATTTGAAATCAGAAATTGTGTTACAGTGCAAAACAATTGAACCGCCTGGCTTTTATTTACTTTCCATATCTTTGAAACGTCACAGCAATACGTTGAATCTGTCACCTGAAAACGCTTTCGACAAAAACAACTAAAAAACTCCATTGTTCAGTACTGATGTGATATGGTATTATTTACTTTCCATCTCTTTGAAACATTGCTTTTTTAAATTAAAATGTATTAGTGTGGACATGGCCTACAGTAAGTCTGTATTCCAAAGCCATCATGAATTCCAAACATTTAAAGAGGGGGTGTCGTGAAAATAGTTTTTTTAGAGTTTTTTTACAGTGTTAAATTGTTTTTTTTATGTAAATCATAGACCAATAGACATAGACAAGTGGTAAGAAAAAAAAAATCTGTCTTCCAGATTGATTCTAGTTTCTGATTTATTTGTTTGTGAACATGGCTTTGGTTGACATTATTAAGGGTGGATCTCTCATGGTAGAGTACACACTTACACATTACGACCCATCACTCAGAATCAGAATGTCTCTGCAGCACTGCACAGGGATTTGGCTTCAAGGAAAAGTTTTTTTGTTTGTATATCACAGGTCGTATTTAATCGTGCATTTTCACATTCCACAAAATCTGGGATTTTTTTTTTAGCTCAAAAGTTATTAAAGAACACCCAAATGCTCTTATATAAGTCTTTTTTTTCCATTGAACTTGTGATTCGGGTCGTGTCCTGTAGGATGGACAGGCAACACAAACCAGCAAAATCCACTGGAACGCAATGAAACTCTAAAGCTTTGCCAACTTTAGTTGGAAGAGGAAAGATAAACTTCCTTAATTTGTGCCAGTTGTGTTCAGACTGTTTCCTCAAGAGCCAGCACTGCCTAACCAAACTGCTGCTCCACCATTTGTCAAATATGATGGAAGAAATGTGGTCACCATTGCTTTCTACAGCTGCGCAACTGTTTCATGTTGATCTGGAGAGCTTTTGACAGCTCCTTCACCTTCAGTGTGGCCTGGCTGATGTTGTTGATGTCCATCGAGAGTATGTGGTCTTTGCAGCCCACGTACATGCGATCTTGATCCTCATCCGTGAAAAGGATTCTGTAGTCCATGGCCTTCTCAGATAGAGAGTAGTGCTCAAAGGACTGGGTTTTCTGCAGTTCTGTAATGCAAACACAAACATGTTCTTTGCATTAGTTGGAGGTTTTGGCGTTTACTTGCACTTCTGACAATGACAAGATTGTTGAGCCTCAATTGTACTCCAAAACACGCTTTATACTTCCACAGAGATGCAAGGCCCTTCAGCATGCCATCAGATTCTCTCTAATGAAAAGCAAACTCATGAATATTCATTGTTATTTCGAGTTTGTCATTCAGAAATGTATAGAGAAGTGGAGCCCTCATTGATACCCTTCTCCTCATCGTCTTTATCCCTTTTTAACACCCTTCTATAGCCAGCACTCTTTACTTTTCTCTTCAATGACCAGATAACACCCTCCAGCCCCAATGAAAGTCACATGTTTCTTCTTTTCTTTTCTTTCACATTTCTGTTTTTTATCCTGAAACAAAGAGTAGGCATATAAAGTCTGTATGTTCACCAAGTCTGTGAACACAAATCTATGCAAATCCTACATTTATAGTGGATCACTTGGTAAATACATGTCTAACTTAACATTTAATGAGGTATATGAACGCCTGTGAACAAAACCAAGACCGCCTTTCCTTACCCACCACACAACAGAACAAACTTAAAACATTATGCATTTCTGAGTGTGCCTCACACAGGTGAGTGGGCTTGACAAACCACCTGTAGAAAAAACACTCTTTCATCTCTCTGACACTTTAACCGACACTTGCACCAGTTTTGCACATTTGCACTAGACACTTTCCTACAATCGCTTCATATCTCTAGAAAAAAAACTGTCTGAGTTTCTGAAGTGTGCCTCACATAGGTGAGTGGGCTTGACCAACCACCTGTAGAAAAACCCTCCCGCTTATTTTAGCTCTTAATTCTCCGAGCACTAACAGTTCCTTGGTAAAAGTAGCACATTTGTGTGTATTGCCTCTTGTTGAACTGTACAATAACATAGAAATAATAATCATAATATTAATAATAATATGTTATTATACATATTATTTTTTCATTTTAAATGATTTACTAAACTGACTGCTGTCACAACACAGCTATTAAATTGATATTAGTTTTGTCATGCTCAAATTTTTTAATCGTATATATATATATATATATATATATATATATATATATATATATATATATATATATATATATATATATATATATATATATATATATATATATATATGATATTTAAAAAAAAACATTATAATTAAATATATTTATAAAACAGTCCTGTCTGGTTTTTGAATCTGATGCCATATTTTGCAAATAACAGCACTCATCCAGTCTCTTAACCTTTCACCCTTGTTTATTATCTGCCCACATACAGAGACAAGCACAGGACACTGTACAGTTTGACAAATAGTGCTGCTGTTGGACAACATAATGAATAAATAACCCAACATTTTTAAAGTGTAATTTTTAGGCTATTTAAGTCAAGAATGTTGCTGTTTTAAATAGTGGATAGGATAAAATAGGATAGTGCCTATTTTAAATGTTTATAATTTCTGAGAGACAGTACATCAGCGGCCAATAACCTGTCATTCAAGCAGAGCAAGGACAGTTGACAATGTCCATCCACAAGATGGTGACAGAGACAGCATAATAAGCCCAGAGCAGATAAAGACAGCATCATTTCTAACTACAGCTGATCAAATCATTATTAAACAGGTAAATAACATTATAGGACAATCTTTTTCTCTTTTGTATGTTGTAGTGCTGTATTTATACCATATAATAGTAGTGTATTGAGTTTGAGATGGGACAAGGAATGTACAGTATGTATTTTGTGTTGGCCGCTCTTTGTATAACCCTGGTTGGCCATCTTTGTTTTTCATGTGTCTCCTGTTTTACAGCAGACTAGTTCAGTACACAGTAAAAAAAAGAAGAAATGCCCTAATGTGTTTAGCATTTTTCCTTATCACAAACACAACAGTAATCTGGTAGTGTGGGTGCTGCTTTGGCTTTTTCTGGGATAGTTATTGTAATCTCTCGATTGCAATTAAGAAATACTGATAAATCTCTGTAGACTGATGGCATTTCATGCTGTTCAGCCATATAGTTTTAAAATGTGAGCAAAATCACCTGTTTTGTCATCATTTTAGACATTACGCTAGAGAGTCATTCAAATACTAGCACTAAAATAACATGTGTGAAGTAGCAACAGTTTCTGCTGTTCCGATGTCAGCTGCAAATGTGATTGAATAGCAGAAGAAATTAGTTATTCTTACAAAAGGGTTTTAGACTCTCTGGGCTCTATTTTGACGGTCCATGCGCAAAACGGAAAGCGCAGGGAGCAAACGCATTCAGGGAGTGTCAGAATCCATATGTGCTAATATGAGGATGGGAAAATCCGCTTTGCGCCATGGCACATGGTCTAAAAGGTTTAGTTTAGGTAGAGTTTAATTTCTTAATGAGTTATAGGCATGTTTTGAGAATAAACCGATCAGAGTCTCATCGCCCATTACCTTTAAGAGCCAGCTGCGTTGCGCCATAAGCGCATTTGATATTTACATGACGTAAAGTAAGTTCACTTTCGCTTTTGCTCTCGTGATAGGGAAACCTTTACGCAATTAGCCTATAAATAATTAATTTTGTTTAAGCGCAAAGATTTGTTTCAAAACTATTTTTAAATTAAGTTCTAATTTTTAGCTAACGAATAAATGAACAATAATAATGAAGTGTGGTCAAAATACTGAGTTATTTCCAAATACACCTGCTATGCCCCATATGGTCTAAAACCTGACAGGTGGAAAAATCTAAGATTGTTTTTAATAAAAACAAATATAAATATGGATATAATAAATAATACTGCTAATAATAATAACATTATACAAAAGCAAATTGAATGAACTGAAAAAGCCTCCCGAGATGAAGGATTTATGTAGGCTAGCAAATAATATGTTTTGTAATATTTTAATTCTTTATATTTATATCCTATATATATCCTTATTATATTCTATATATTTCCTTAAATTTTTTTTTTTTCATATGTAAAGATATTTGCTCATTTCTCTACAACTTGTGTATATTAAGCAGCGTGCAAGCGAGGCGCACAACTAACGCGCTCTGTGCCGGACTTTAGACCGGGTTTGTTCTGGTCTAAAGAACAGACTATTACAGTTTCTCAAAATAGCAACGCGCCAGCAACGCGCCAAAGCAAGCCTGCTTTTTTAGACTAGAACGTCTATGGGCTCACATATGAGCGCAACTGCATTTGCTATTTGAAAAGCGTGGCGCAACACCTTAAAAATGACCCTTGCACAGAGATGAAAGTAGCAAATAATAATTGCGTCACGCATTGTGCCACATTGCACCGGGTGTATGATAGGGCCCTCTGTGTTTAATTTTCTTTTTTATATACATGATTATGCCATTTAACTGTTGTATAAACGCAATATCACACTCATAGCAGTACGATATGGCTGTATATCGGCACTGGTGGGACACTAACGCACGCCTTCCACCAGTACCAATGTCCAGCCACATCGTACTGCTATGATATATATTAGCACCACAATTTGTTTCTAGTAAGTATTGATTAATTAGAGCATTTCTGCAATCTTCATTGACACTTAATTGTTCATGAAATGTAAATAAATAAATATAAGTCAAAACAAAATATATTTATTGGAGGCATTATAAATATTTTTAGTACATATTTATACGAAGAAATATACAGCGATGGGAATAAATTAAGAGAAAACCTGAAAATCTCTCTGGCCAAATGTAAAATGCAGATTTTTTTTGACAAATGAAACAAATTACAGTGTTTTAACTCCATTCAAGTAAATAATAAAAAAATTTGTCCCAAAAAATAAAGATTTGTTATTGTCTATTTCTGGGAGAAAAAAATGCTTGAAAGAACCTCAATATTTTTATTTGACATTTGAAACAAATGTAATCAGGCCTTTTAAGAATAAAACAAATCTATCATTTTAACTAAAACTATAATTTTACTCTAACAAAACTATTAGTCCCTGAGAAATTTTCAAGTAGTCCATTTTTATCCAGCAAGACAGGGCAAGCTGATGATCATAACCTCAGGCTCTGTGAGGAGCACTGACAGTAGACAGTATGTCTCAGCAGACTATTATAGGATTATATTAGTGGAGAGGGCCGTGTCAAACTCGTCATTCTAACGTGGCTTTAATAAAAAGAGACGCGATTACATCAGCCGGGCTTCAAAGCTGCACCGATAGCATCTCCGACAGATAAAAGTGCCATTATTACTGCTCAAAGAGCTTATCGGAGCAACACTGCTACATGCATGAGAACTAGAAATGAGCAAAGGCGTGAGGAAATATGTTGTAAAAAATAGGAACAAGAGAAAGAAATCTCACGTCAGGTTCTAGGTTTCAGGCAACTAATTAGAAACATTCAGCTTCTGTAACCTCAGACTGAAATCATAAAATCCAATTTCACCCCATTCAGCAGACTCCTGCTCATTTAAAGACTTTCTGAATGGTTTTCTTTTTGGAAAGTTGCTTTGTGGGGTTTTTCATTCAGCACATTTCAACTTTGGTTCTGGCTTCTCTATGATATAAAAATGGTGTGTTGTTCAAACGTTTAACATAAATGTAACTTAAACTGTGTGAGAGACAAAATATTTTCCAGATGATTTAAACATTTGAGGTCTTGCATTACTTTGATTGAATGAATAAATTTAAGACAGGGCTGCACAAACTTTTTCTTATAAAGTGCCCAAAACCAAATGTCATTGCGAGCTGTGGGCCAATATACCAAACTATATTACATTCAAGTTGCCATGGGTAATTTCCAAATTTTTTTCCTAATATTTCAAAATAAATAGAAAACATTACTTTAAATTGTATTAACTATTATAGTATATATGTTTAAATAATGACAGATTGCAATAAAACCATAAACAATCATAGTCTTTGCATTGTTCTCTATGGTTACAGTATGTACATTTAGACAGTCACATTAATTTACAACACTTAATCGAAACATTTCATTTTAGTTAGTTTTTACCAATAAAACAAACAAACAAACAAACAAAC